CTCCAGTGGTGCGTTCTTCGAGGAACCAGCCATTACGTAAGCACTGGATGGTGTTCGTATTCTCGAGCTCGGGCGCAAGACGAACGGCTCGAAGATGTTGCGGTTGTTCTCTAGACGGCGAGCAGGGTTCGATCCAAGTGGATTTTGCGCCTACGCACGAACTGCAGAATCGCAGACACATCGAACGGAACCTCCGACAGATCCATGAACACGAGTTGCCATCTCGGTACGAGCTTGCTGGAGGAATTGAACGAAGCGGGGGGTTTTAGGCAGCACAAAGGTGTTCATGTCACCGCCTGAACCGCTTTGCAACGATAACAACAACAACTCACACAGAATACTTTGACATAATACCCCGCCGTGTATTGCAGTCTTACCGCGTACGGACGCCAATCTCCCGAAAAGCAAAACTGCCGAGCGGCTTCGTCCTCCTCTATCAACTGTGTCTGCTGTTTGCACCAAGACGCTCGCTCTGCTTACGCCTCGAAGAAGCTCCAGTCCTTCTTCAAGACGCCGTTGATGCGCTTCACCTTGGGGTCCGTCTTGCCTGCTCGTAGCCAATCACGTACACAGATAATCAGCTATTTGTCCAATCAGTATTGGTCTCACGCAGGGACCGACGCACCGCGGAAGGTGAATCTGCCGAAGACTTTGCCGTGCTTGAGGTCGGGCGACGGGCGGATGCGCACCACCTCCCAGTACGAGGGCTCCGCGTACTTGGCCCAGATGCCGCGCGTCACGCGCGCGCCCACGCCGTACTCGCGCGTGGGCGTCAGCACCTGGAAGGCGTTCTTGAAGCTCTTAGCCACGGCCGACATGATGCTCTTCCACTCGCTCGCTACAAGGAAATTGAGAGGCGTAGGAGCCAGCAGCGCAAAAGCGACGTTTATTGTGAGATTTAACGTAATTTCATTGGATGAAAGTTCCTCACTACATTTTTGGCCAATCACAAGTTCGATACATTTTCACGAAATGTGAGCAGCTCACAGCTTGTGCGCTGCCAGCTTGAACTTGCGGAAGAACTTGCCCATGGGCGCCAGCATCTCGTCGTGGTGCGGGACGTCCTGCAATAGTTTGGCATTTGTATGGGTCAGCCATTTGGAATTTTAGATAAAAGCAAGATGCTGCTTACCTTCATGCGCTTGAGCCAGGCCGCGACCTTGGGGAAGTCCTTCTCCACGTTGGTGAGCAGTCCCATGACCTCGAGCTGCACCACTTCGTTGTAGCAAGACAGGTCCACGACCGTGGGCTTAGTGTTGCTTACGAGGTACAAGTTGCCGTGACGCAACCAGAACTCCAGGATGCGGAACATGTCGGCGATGATCTTGTGCTTCTTCTGGAGCATGGCCTCCATGGCAGGCGTGCCACGACCGATGTTCACCATTAGCTGGTTGAAGAAGATCTCCGAGCTACGGCGCGTGTTGAGGTGGTGCCAGTTCGTGTACTCGTGGATCTGATGCCAATCAAGCACAAACATGAGTCAAGGCTTCAACTTGAGGAGCACTGCATCGACTCTAGGCCGCAGCTTACACGAGCGCGGATCTTGAGGTCCTTAGGGCACCAGGACTCCCAGTCGTGCTTGTCCGCAAGGTAAAGCATGATGGCATGGCTTCAATGTTACGGAATTGCAGACAACACGGCGTCAGTGAGGTCATTGCAACAGTTGTTGCATCTTAACTGACGCCTCTCTCACCTCTCAGTGAGCACGAACTCCCCGTCCTTGAGCACGGGGATCTTGCCAATGGGGCTCAGCTGCAGAAACGTATCGGTGCGCGTCTCGCCCTTGCCCGAGTCCGTGTACTTGTACTCGATGGGGTGGTTGTTGACCTTGCAGAGCCAGTAAACTACGGACAGTCCGTCAGTGACAACCGCTAGGATAGGCAGGCTCCAGTCTTCCGCACAGAGTGTGCGCATGCGTACCGGCACGCGAAGGCTGGCTGATGGGGCTCGCATACAGTTGCTCCGGCATTATGGCAGCGGTTCGTCACGACGAGGAAGGTTGGGGAATGCCGACGCCTTTGAAGAGCTCCTCTGTTGATGAATCAATTTGAAGTCGTCACACCTGAATGATAGCATCACTTTTGGTGTGTGGGTACACAACTGGTCTTGTGTGCACCACACTCTCGCCTATCACTTCAACATGTACCCATCTCGAAGAGCTCACTCCTCAACTTCGGCCTTGCAGTGCATGCCTCAGGCCTACGTAGAGCGAGGAAGTCGAGGCCTATTGTCATCAGGTAGTGCGTCCACACCGGTATCCTACTAGTATTCCCGTCCCCATGACGGACGCTGTGTCGCCTCCGTCGTTCGTGGTGGAGGCGGCTCCCCATCACGTGTGCACGTCTATCGCGCTCACATCGTTAGTGTCTCGACGCTCGCTCTGCTCTGCGTGAAGATTGGATGGGTCAAGTCTAGCAATAGAATGCAGGACGAGGGCGCCCGCCGAAGTATAATTAGAGGGGAGTCCAAATGCAGGAGGAAGGCAGGCAGTCGGCTGGTCGTTTCGCCACCAAGCTCTGCCGGACAACAATAGCTCGCGCTCGCTCGTGTTCTTGCTTGCGCCGCCTATGGAGACGTGAACGTGGCAATCCAGTCGTACTGCCCCGAGAACGCACGCTCAAGCAAGTAGCAGTCAGTCAGGCAGGCAGCTCGCGCTCAGATCTCCACGCCACGGGTGGCGTCCGCGTCGTAGCAGTTGGCAGCACTAGCCGGGCGTCGTGGGGAGACTTGCCTCGCCCCCTCCGGTCGGTGCCCTGGTTTCCTCTCGCCACCTCGGGAGATTGCTCTCCTTTTCCAGCCCCGTGTCCTCTGCGTCGCCCGAGTCGTTGTCCCGTCCGAGCCAAACGCCGTCCAGGCTGCACAAGTTGCGGCGGCCCAGCGACGCCGACGCCGACCGCGTGCTCAAGTTCTCCCATCGCTCGGACAGCGGCAGGAGCGAGGACCTCAGACAGCCCAAACCAGACCAAGCCAAGAGCCCCCTGACGCTCCGTGGGCGCAAAAAGAAGAGCACACCTGCAGGGCAGGTGGTGCGCATCGCTTCCGTCACAACGCGGGGATCGAAGATAGGCGGGAAGGAGGACGAGCGCTCGGCGCCCAAGGCCGTGGCGCCAGGCGCGCAGAAGACAGTGACCTCGCTCTTTCTCGGCGGCTCCTCCGACCCTCCCAAGCAGAAACAGGATGCCGCCCCTGGCGGCGGCGGCGGGGGTGCGCCAATCCGAACCACAATGTTCGGGGGCAGCGGCGCTGCGACGTACAACCACGGCGGCCACCACGGATCGGACGCCATCCACACAGTTCTAAACCAGGACCGAGCCAACCAGCGCGTGTCGAGGATCTACCCCCTCACGGACTCGGTGTACGTGGCCCAGACCAAGAAAACCCCCGTGGAAGTCAAGTTCCACCCCGTGACCAGCACATTCGTGAACGAGCCGCGACTAGAGAAGCTCTACCAGGTAACCTTTGCGCGCGAGAACTCGGCCCGGTCGTCCCGAATCGCGTTGATTTTCTTCCTCATGTACCTCTTGTTCACGGGCTCCAACCTCACCAATCTGCTCTCGAAAGACGCCAGCGTGCGCTCGCGAAGCTTGCGGTATTTCGCGCTTGTGTTCAGCCCCATCCTACCCATCCCGGTGCTAGTGTATGTGAGTCGGCGACGCGCCTACGAGATCCAATTCCAGCGGATCTACACGCTTGTATTGTTATGCTGGAGCTTCTCGATCATCGCAGGAGGAATGTTCTCCATGCTCACGGAATGGTACAACTACGTCTCCAAGGACGTGGATATCATCCTGGACGAGCTCGAGATCTCCAACACGGACGACGCGCGCATTTTCTACGTGAACAGCACGTCCCGCAGCGACTGGCTGTTCAAGGCAATATCGGGCACGCGAGCGGAGGTGCTGCAGGCCTACACGAAGGAGATTCTGCTCCCTGCAGCCACGATGAACATCAATCTGCTCCGACTCATCATGATTTTCGTCTTCGTGCCGCTCCTGCGTATCGACACGCTGCACTTCGCGCTGGTTGGGCTTATTACCAGTGTGAGCTACATGGTGCTCACGTTCATCTTCTACCCGGTCACGGATTCGTCGCCGTTTATCCTCAACCGCGTGCTGGTTATCTGCTTCCCCATGGTGTTTACTATTGCGATGCTGCTCCGAAACCGAGACGTCGATCGCGTGGTGCGCCAGGACTTTCTTCACGTTTGGGCCGTGGAACTGGAGGCGGAGAAGGCGACGCGCGAGAAGAATTTGATCGCAGAAGAGAACCGCACGCTCAAACAGGAGCTCGCGCAGCGTGATAGCGACTTCAACTTGGACTTGACCTCTCCGCTGCACGCTCTGCTGGCCGAGCTCAAATCCTTCCTCGATGCGGTGGACCTGAGTGATGAGGATACTCAACGCGGCATGGCTATTGTCCGCAACCTCGCGCGGCTGGACCAGAACCTGTTCGTTCCCGATATTAGCGCGCAGATGAAGTCCGAGAAGGAGGTCGATAACGATACCAAGAATTGGGCGCTCTCGGTGCTGGCTCGCAAGGAGTACGGCGATACAACTCGCTCCGGTGTGGCGATGTCGCACAGTTCACATTCCGACTCAAACAGCGACAACCGGAGGAGTTACAAGGACGGCTTAGGAATCGGAGCTGGAGGGATTGCTGGTTCTGTGGTTATTGCTCCGTTGCCAGACATGCCCACTTGGGAAGATCAGACGCTCTCTCGCGTAAAGCAGCGCATTCAGCAAGATGGCTGGGACTTGGATACCTTGCAAATTGCAGAGCATACTGGCAACCGGCCACTCATGTACGTGACTGCAGCCATGTTCGAGCTGCATGAGCTTCATGAAGAGTTCCGTGTTGACCGCGTAGTGCTGCGGAATTTCCTGTACGTGCTGGACGATGGGTACTTGGCCAACCCGTACCATAACAGCAGCCACGCTGCCGACGTCGTGAACTCGGTGAACTTCCTCATCACAACACTCGCCGACGGTCAGATTCGAGACACGCTCACAAATCTCGAGTTCTACGCGGCGCTTGTGGCTGCCGCTATTCACGATTTCCGCCATCCGGGCAAGTCCAACAATTATCTCATCAAGGCCAAGCACGACTTGGCTCTCCAATACAACGACCGCAGCATCCTGGAGAGCATGCATCTGGCTGAAACCTTTTTCATCATGCGCAACCCGCTGTGCGATATCTTCGGGCGCATGAAGGACAAGCCATATCGAGAGATCAGGAAGGCTATTATCGAGATGGTCCTCAGTACGGATTTATCCATGCACCTGCAGCTGGTAGGGAACCTCAAGGCTTTGCTGCTCCAGGAGGCGACTGCCATCCCTGCGACTGGGAGCAGCAATAATGGCGCGGGGTTGGGAGCTGGAGGAGCTGTACCAGCGCCGAAGCCCGTAACAGACCCGATGATGATCATGAAGGTCGTCATCAAGTGCGCTGATATCGGTCACGCTGCCAAAAAGAGGAAGCTGCACGTGATCTGGTCAGCGCTCATCATCGAGGAGTTCTTCCTGCAGGGCGACAACGAGCGCGCCAACAATTCTGACATTTCACCTTTCATGGACCGACACTCGGAGAATAGCGCAAAGGTTTGTCTGCCCTTCATCTTGCGTCTTGGGTTATATATTTTCTCTAATATTTCCTTCTCTCTGTGTACACGCAGAACCAAGTTGGTTTCTTCGAGTTCATCGTACTTCCCTTCTACGATACGGTCGCACAAGTTATATTCACGCCGGAGTTCGGCGCCATCCACAACATAGCAAAGCAGAACTATACCTTATGGAAAGAGGCCGACCGCAGACAGCTCTCGTCCATCGTGGCCATCAAGAGCGAGGTCTTCCTGAATGACAAAGTTCAAGTGCCATCATAGACGACCGAGTGTTTGGCGGAGAGGGAGGCCTGTACCGACATTCCTTGGGCACCTGTTCGACCTCTTTATAGTAGGCATTAGTATAGCATCGCCCAACCCGCTCCACGCAATCCACATCCTTTTCTTGCAAACTTGTCAGCGAAAGTCACCATAGTCTTCGCACGTCAGCGATTTAGTGAACTGAACTCAGTACATTACAATGTAAAACATTTATGGGGTCCACACAAGAGAAAAAGCATCCCCGTTCGCTATCTCAGTGAAAGAAAGAGGAATTACCATGATCCAGTAGAAAAGTACTGGATCGCCCCAGGCCGACTGAAAAACAAACTACTGTCACAGTATTTGCTAAGTTCGTGATGCGTATTTATCAAAACGTATCTACCTACTGCTGCGAGACTGGATCCTTGCGCTGCGTCGTGTCGGTCGTCGATGGCGAGTCCGACGTCTCCCTCTTGTCGATTGGTAGACCCAGATGAAGTCGATCGATTCGCGTTCGAACCGTAGCTTCAGGCGCATCGGAACGTGGCTTCCCGGTTCCCATGTAAGCTCCCGGTACCCAACCCATTGAATGAGATAATATACTCTTACGTTGATCCACCTTTTCGCGTATATTCGCTCTACCTCATATAGCTGCCCATCCACGCCTCTCTGGGCCCTTCGATTGCTTGCGAAGAGGCCACCACCTCTACGTCGTTCTTCTCGGAGTCCACCCCTGACTGATGATCCTTCCTCTTCCTGCTCGTCGGTGTCTTCGTCGCTGACGTCATGAGCGGAAATACCGGGATTCAGTCGGAGACGGTAAAACGAGCCGTCCAGGTGGCGCTGGATGTTCCGGGCGTGGCGCTGTCGTGGGTTAAGGCGTGGCATTGAGCACAAAGCAGAATGGGGCTTGACGAAGCGCTGAAAATGTAGTTCGCAGTCTATTTCTATTCTAAGTGTTGCCTTAAAATAAATACAGTAGACTTCAGCCCGGAGGTCAGGTTGTGATTTGGCTAAATTTAACGTAGTTAAATTGCAAAATTCAGATTGCAGATCAACGTAGCATATTGCACCATTGCGGCTTAAATTATACAAAAAGGGTGTACCATGGAGTGGTACATTCGTAGAGTTCCTACTCCTTCTAGAGTTTAAGAGATTTTCATGAAATATTTTACTCGCGTGTTCTTAGGGCACAACACTAGAGATCTATCGGTTTAGATTTTTAATATACCTTACCCAAATATGACTCAGCAACACTTGCATATTTGGTTAGAATTGTCGGAAAGCACAATATCTATTAATTATGAAGTGTTGTTTGTCAAAAATACAGATCGATAAAGTATAAATTGGCTTTACCCGACGAAGCTTATTCTTGTCCCTACAGCGCGTTTTTCACAATCTTTCGCTTGTGTTGTGGCCTCTTCCCCGCTTCAACCCTCTTTTACCAATCCGTTCAGGAGTGGGTTCAAGTTGTGGAGGAAGAATTGTGTCGTCCCGCTGTAAGGTTGCTGTTGTCGGCCAAGGGAGAAATTTGAATGTGTACGTATCGCGGAAGTGCTCGATCGACATACGCTTGGCGTCATACAAGTCTTCGATTCGTCGGCCATCCTTTGAAGCAGCGCAAATTGCGTGGACACAAGGGAACATTTGGTCTTGCCAATTGCCGCACGTGCACTCCAGCGCTGGCAAATCCACTACCCGGTCTGGGTGCACATATCCCGGTATGGCAACAGGGCCCTTGAACAAGACGCTGTACGCACCCTCGAGAAGGTGTGTAAACTCGCACATATCAGCTGCAGCTTGACGGTCTGTACGTCGCTCTAACAACTTGGGGACTAAATCCGAGAGTGCGCCAGATTTTGTCCACGTTACAATCAATTGTCGCCTTTTGGACATCAGTTGACTCAGCTTCAAGAAGTACAAGTGGAATCCGTCCAAGGGTTTGGCGGTCCGAAGCTCTTTACCCATCCATTTGTTCGCTTGCTCTGACAAATTTGAGGTTATTTCGTCGAAAGTCGGGAGATTAAATTTTTCTTGGAAACTGTACTTCACCCAGTGAGCACGTTCGATTCCGTCCAGAAAATTCGCAGCGGCAGGGTTGTTCACGGCGAGTTCACTTCGATACAGCTTATAGTCATTTTCACAGTCGCTGCGTGCCATTCGGCATACCCACGCACGGTCTTCCTGGGACAACCTGGAACATTTCCTGTTAATGTTGTCCATGATATGCCGCGGGCAGTATCGATGGCCAGCGTTTGGGAAAATTGTCGCGACAGCTGGAAGCAGACCTTTTTGTCTATCCGACAATATCGTGAACTTTTCCCAGTCAACTGCCTCCTTGAATGCTCCCAGGAACTAAATCCAATTGGCTTTGTCCTCTTGTGAAACCAGCGCGAGTCCAACTGGAACGATGTGCTTGTCGTAGTCTTTCACGGTAGCTACCAGATAAATGCCCTGTTCGTGCATTTCCCCTTTAAGGTGGGCCCCGTCAAAGCCGACCATTTTTTTGCAGTTCTGGGCAATGTAAATACCAGCGTTAGGGATGAAGCACGCTCGACCAAACGACGATCCGTCCGCGGCAGTTTTCACTCTCCAAACCGATCCGGGGTTCTTGTGCGCCATCAACTCGAAGTACGCCCGCAGTTTTTGGTAACTTTCTACCAAGTCGCCGTGAATTTTGTCGTCAATTTTCTGCTTCATTCTGGACACCGATGTAGCGCTTACGTCCGCTCCTTTCGATTTCAGAAAATTCCTGATAGCGGCAAGCCGTAGATCCATCGTGGGCGGGAAGCATCTCGGTCTCGACAATCGCTGTCAGCTTGCTTAGCTGCTGCGTGGTATTCCGCATGGGCTTGGACGGCAACGGGATGGACCCTTCAACACAAGGGGCCTTGGCACTACCAACGAACTTGAGGTGATTGTGCGCAAAATTTGCCTGGGTTATCTTCCACTTCCCCGATTTCCCGTGAACATTCACGAAAAAAGGACACGTGAGTTGGGCAGCTGGTGTAGTCCGGTAGAAATATTGCGTTCCATTGAGCGCCTTGCACGCAAATTTCGCATTACCGGAGTTGTCGGCCTTCACACTGGTCTGCTTCACAAAATTCTGGAAGCCGCACCTCACAGCCAAATCTTTGCGCTTGCTGTGGACTGCTTTTTGTGAAGAAAAGACTGAATTGGCAATATTTTCTCGGAGCTGGTAGGCCAAGCCATACGTTGAGCTTGTCGGGTTCGTCGACTCGACTGCAACATCGTCCCTGAGTAGTCCCAACTCCTTGGCAGCTTCGAGATCAGACACGTCGAGTGAAAAGCGAGCAGAGCCGTAGTTTGGGGGGTTTCTTGCTCTTGACTTGGACATTTGCACAATGCAGCAGAATATAGCTGTGAATCACCCTTTAGATAATTATTTATTATTCAAGTCTACTTGGTTTTTATTTAGCACTAGCCTTCGAAATCTTACCTCCCACGTATCTATTTCAGGTGTCCCGCAAATAAACCGAGAGCTCGAAGTTAGCCCATAAATGGTTGATAGGTTCGCAAGTGGCGTGCCGGGCGTACTTAGGATTTTTTTACTGTATGAAGAAAATGGCTGTCGGCCTGGGGGACGATCCAGTACTTTTCTACTGGATCATGGTAATTCCTAAAAAAAACAACGATCGGAGAAGATGGCGAAACAAGCGAAGGACGAGGTGCAGCTGAACTGCGGGGTGTACGGCTTCGCTGAGATCTTCTGCGTGAACATCGCGCGCGACGCAGTAGTTGCCGACCTGCGCGATGTCATTGCTGGCGTGCTGGGCTTTCGCTCTGGCTCGCTGACGCTCCGCGTGGCGAGGAAAGGCGGGGAAGGGTGGCTGGAAGACAATGACGATCTGGACACTATGCTGGCGGGAGATGTTGACACAGCCTTCGAGATGTTGGAGCCGACAGCGAAGTTACCAGAACTCCTCATCAATCACGGAGAGAAATACGGGGTCATTCACGTGCTGGTGGAGCGCCCGCAAGAAGACATTCCTGACCGGGATTCGTACGCCATGGCAGAACTTTACAAGAGCTCAAGCGATGCTGTCGACCTGAACGACCCAAATACGATAAACCGGGTTGTATGAAGTATTTGCCCACCGCTGGTTCTCAAACCGAGGGCGCGATGTCGTCGAAAAAGAGAAAAATGCAACGCAGAGCACGAGGTCGGTCAAGTTACGTGTACTTGATCAGCCCCCCATGATCGAAGCGGGCCACCCTCGTGGATATGATGCCCCACTTGAAGTTACAGGAGAAGCTCAAGCGAAAAACGCCCGTGAAAAACCGCACTCTGGACGAAGTATCAACCATGCACCCTCAAGCGCACAACAGAAAAGTGGTGGCAAACGGAAGCGTGTTGCCCGCTTGGAGGTGGAGGCAAAGCCATCATCAAGCCGGAAAACGCAATGCTCTGCGATGGAAGCTGACCCGAAAGATGAAGCGTCGCATGCTCAAGGAGAAGAACAATCTTTAGCTATCCAGGTCCCTGACATGTTGGAGATTCCAGAAAATCCCAAGTCGGAATGGTTTGATACACTGGAAGACGTTGTTCCGAGCAATGCTTGGACGTACTACCGTCCGAAGTCGCGCATATACGGAGTGGATGCGTTGATTGTGGAGCTGACGCCCGAGTCTGAGACTTACGCTGGAAAGTGCTATGGACTAAAGATGACGATGTGTGAAGGCCAGTTTTAAGGCATCTTCTCTGGAAATGCTTTCAAACTGGGCGAAATCGCGCGGCTTTCAGTTTGCGTTGGTGTTTGTCGTGCCTCCGCACCTAGCGCCTGACATGAAATGGCAGACAATTATGACGCGCGGTGACGTGTTTCAGCTTGTTGCAGGTATAGACCCTTTCACCCAGTTTAGATGAGATCGTGACATGAAAGCGAGCCTCAGAGTTGATGCAAACACGGGAGTACTACGAAAGTATGCAGTAAATTTTCAATTCCCGATATCTCGTGAACAAATTTCTCGATTCCTGTGCGGCAAGTACCAAATGAAAGTGCACGATCGGCGCTTCTTGCTGTAGTTTTCACAGCTCACCACCGCTCCTTTTAACGAAGCCAGTGAGGGACTCCTTCTCCAGAATTTGAGGGTCTTCATATTTCCTTCCGTAATTCGTCGGCTATTCATCGCCTTACCCACAAGTAGGTATATATGGCTGTATGCGCGATCATGCCGAGTTGTCAAGGAAGTACATCAATACCGACGAGTGCTTTGTACGCCAACATGACGGCGCTCTCGTTTCCTTCTAAACCAATTACGGTGGATGTGGAAGCCATGACCCGCGAGCAGATCATGTTTCCAGACTGGCTGTGGGAGCCGCAACCACGTCGGATATTCGAAAGCGATTAAGGCCTCGTCTAGCAACGATGTCTGGAACTCGTAGTAGTATTTCTTACATTGATATTACTCCTCATTTCATCATACTACGGTAGTAGTAATTTCTGTTACCATTACTATTTTAACCGGCAATCTTTAGGGGGCGTGATCATTCCAGCTTCTCCTTCCGCTTCTCCCCAAGACCTGCAGCCATGGACCTGTCCGAGATTCCGTTCGACGTGCCCGTCATCCTGCAGTCGCTGTCCAAGCGCAAGAACCTGCAGAACCCGCTCGGATCCTCCAAGGCGCGCTGCCTCGAAGACAGCCGCGACGTGTACGAGCAGCTCGTGCTGCGTCGAGTGCGCGACGACAAAGTGGCCATCCAATGCGCGCGCAACGGCCGCTACCTGCAGGTGCGCGCGTCGGGCGAGTGCGTCTTCGACCCGAAGGAACCGGGCGACTGGGAGCTCTTCACCATGGAGACGGACGCCAGCTGCGCGCTCTTCTTCGTGTCGTGCCACACGGGCAACGTCCTCCAGTGCGACGACTGCTGCGTCGCCAAGTGCGCGAACCACAACCGCCTACACTGGGAGAGCTGGCGCATCCTGGAGCCCCGCACCGTGGCCGCTGCCCCCACGACCCAAGTGCAGGCGGCCCCGGACCGACGTGACGTTCTCGTCGGCAAGGAGCGCCAGGACTTCATCCTCGTGCTCGTCAAGTACGTCAAGTCGCTGAAAGAGATCGACCAGATTGTGTCGCGTCTGTTTGATGCCCCAATGTCAGCGTCGGCTTCGAGCTCGCCCTCGGCGTTCGCTGTTCCAGTCGACAAGGCGTAGGCGCAGAGCAGCATCAAACACGGAACGGGTACTAGTATTGCATATTTAGTGGAGCGCTGTGTGCCGTTCGTACCCCCCCCCCAATCATCTAGCTTTCACCTGAACACTGCTGGAACACTCTTTGACGTAGCGCACGCTTCATATTGAGCGTGTTGTTCTTGCCCTTGATAGTCTCACCATCTTTTTATCCAAATGCAAGAAAAATAGCTGCATGTTGCCTTCATACGAACTGTTACCATCAAAATGATGGCTTCGGCTCTCCGTTGCTACCCTCAAGCATTCATTACCTCGAAGACGACCATCCCACTCGGAGTTGACATCCGCCAAATTCATCAGATGCGAACTCGTCCTCAAAAATGCTACCGGTCCAAACCTGGGGGATTTCCCCCTCGCGCTTATTGAAGCGCAACAAAAAGCGTCACTTCCTTCACAGACACCGTCATTGATTAGAGTAGACGCGTGTTCAAAGGAGGCGTAGCGAGAAAAAAAACTAAAAATCAACGCAATTTAATCGTAGATTGAGATTTAAGTTTTCTAAGAAAGAGAAAAATATGAAAGATCTTATCAGATCACATCGTAGTAGTAGAAGTATCTTTACTTAACGAAGGGAAATCCTACAGACTAGCTCACTTTACAATTTCACACCAAGTCTTGGGATGGAGTTATCGAGTCGTGGCTGTTAGGTGCGGCCCCAGACAAGGTCATCACATACGTGGTAGCGGGAAGCGGTCTTTGGTAGCGTGACGCTTACCAGTGCCAAGCGTGTTTGGGGACTTCGAGACGCTATAATCAAGAACGAGCACTTTTTGAGCAATCCGCGAGCATTCAAGCTCTACAAAGCGAAGCGTAGCGATGGCACTTGGCTACGTGAACTCGACGCGGGCATCAAGTACACGAAGAAGGAAGGGAGAATCCCTGAACAAGTTCGCAACATGATAAGCGAGGACAATAGCATGGACGTATCCCACCGAGTCGACGATGCCCGCTATGCATTCCCGGATAGCGACAAAGAGTGTGAAGGGGATATTCACGTGATACTGGATGTCCCTCCTACAGCCAAGTGTATTCCGTGCTATCGCTTGCTCGTACGTTGATATCTGAAATCACGCCTTATTGGCGCTAACCTACCCTATTCAACAGAAAATGCGCGCCGTTTGCGTGTGATCGTCTGCATGGGAGAGATCTTCTTCAGGGTCATCGCTTTCGGCTGCCTCGGGTATGCGGTTATTGGGGAAGTGCCTTCTGTACAAGGGGATTCTATCCTCGATATGGGCACTCTCAAAGCTTGGTTTGGTGATTGTCTAGAAAATCACCAAACGACTTCGGCGATCGGGTGTATTTCGTTCGGTCTGGGTGTTGCCGCCTCTGGAGTTAATGCTTACCTGGAGTCGTGCCAAGCACACTGGGAGAGGGAGGACCTGAAGGCCGCGATCAGTGCGAATCTTTGAGCATTTTAATTGAGCTGGCCGAGCCTTTTACACATTTTCCATTCAACATTTGAACTAGACGAGTCAATCAGAAAATTTAAACAAGTTGTGTCGTCATAATCGTTGTCTAGCCTCAAACGAACTTTAACAGCGGCGCCATGGCTCGAAGATGGCGAATGCGAAATGCAACGATTGATCAAGTACAAGTAGCACAGCATCACGTCGCATTTTATCGCTCGGTGTCTGGTAGATAACTGCGGCCATTACGAGTAGCTCATCCTCCATCACATAAGCCCACGATGGGGGCCTGCACGTTTGTTTCAGGACGACATCACTGATTGGGAAGTATGTACTTCTTCGTCTGCAGGAAAGTGTTGCAGTGCGACGAAGCCAACCAGAACCATTGAGTCTGGGAAGCTTGGACCAACCAGTGGCGCCGCGGCAAATACGGCCAGAGCTTCATCTTGAAGATGGTCAAGTCAGCGGACGAGATCGGGCAGATCGTGACGCATTTGTTAGATACGCCAGTAGCGTCTGCGTCGGCTTCGAGGTCTTCCTTGGTGTGCACCATTCCGACTGACAAGCCGTAAGTCCCGAGCAGCAGCCAAACAGAACACCAGGCTCGCACTCAGTGGAGAAGCACTTGCTCACTGTCACAAGCGAGCGTACTTTCGTCGTACTCAGGAGCTGGACGCGATCTCGGTGTAGCAGCTGAAGACGCGAGAACAAGTCGGTTGGCCTCGTAGTCTGCCACTAATTCATCCATTTTCACTTGAACACTGCGCGTATACTCCTGCCATTGGTGCAGTGCTTCCTGCAGCATCGGGTGCTCCATGCTCAAAGTCTCCACCAGCAGCGGCAGGTACGGATTCTGGCGCGTACTGTTCTCGTCGTAGCACTGCTGGAACGACGCAAACACTTCGGCCAAGTTGGTCATAGGCGCCAGTAGATAGTGCTGACACCACTCCACCTTCTTCTGGCCAAGGTGACGCACCCGCTTGGCCAACCGCTGTAGCAAGTCGTCTTGGGTTTGCCAGGCCGTCCGCCAGTACTCTGCCTCTCTTTTGCAGACCGCTGCGCTGTTGTCTATGGCCGAGTATCTCGCATGAAGCTGCTTCAGCATCACCTTTGCTTGCTTCTCGCGCTCCTTGGCCCCTCCTGGGCCCTTTGCCACTCCAGTCGTTGACGACAGAGCCTTCATGATGTCGACCGCTGTAATCCACTCACCGTCTTTCGTAGCAGCAGAGCTCTCTGAACCTGATACTCTTGTCGCTGGAGTACAGACAACAGCACCGAAGGCGCCGACTTCGAGGAGCAACTTTCGCACGCGTTTGCTGAGCTCATACGCGTTCGACCGAACTGCGTCAGTAGTTGAAGCCTTGGGAGCAAACCGTTCCAGGACTTGCGCGCTCAGTTGGTCCAGCTCTGCTGCAACATTTGCCAGCGCTTCTTCGAGCTGCTTCACCCTGTCGACACGGAGGTGAGCCAGACTGGACGGCTCTCGGCTGTAGATCTCACTCAGCTTGATCGTCGTATCACCGTCGCGTAAGAACGACGCCGACAACTTGCTCACGCGAAGCTTCGTCTCGTAGCAAGCGTTGGCGGCGTTCGCAGCGCCTCGGATCTGTCCTTCCACGCGCTGGAGCTCGTCCATGAGCTTGTCTGGAACAGCCAGCATCCATTTGATGGGCTGCTGAGCCCCAGTTTGTTCGGACTTGGCAGGAGTATCGGCCGCATTCTGGTCGGCCCCCGCAGCCTTCGCCTCTTCGCGTCCAGCTTCGATCACGCCTCGCCAGTGGTTCAGTGCGGACAGAAGATTCGTCTCTGCGTTCGCCTGGGCCTGCACTGCGTCTTGCAGGAGGCTAATTTGACGCTGGAGCTGCAGGTTTTGCGCCTGGAACAGCCTCATCCGCCGCTGAGCGAACTGTATCGAGTCTGGATGGTCTTCTTCGAGCAGGCTGTTGTTGGAATTGCCACTCTGCAGCACCGCGTTCAGCGCCTCCAGCTGCTTGATCTCCTCGCGCAACTTGGCGTTCTCACTCGTCAGCACTGCATTTTCCTCCCGCAGCGCCTGCACCTGGTTCTTTTTGAACTTGGAGGCAAAGTGAGACGGTTGCTTGGTGGGCGCAGTCCGCTCGATCGAGATGCCAGCCCCCACAGTGTGGCGAGTGGTTCTTCGAGTCGACTGCACCAGCTTCTCAGTGGACTCACACACGCTGAGCGCATCGGTAGAGTCTTCCTCCGGCGGTGTGTCGACTGTCGTGTCAAAGTTCCAGTCTAAATTCCCTCCAGAAGTAGAGCGGGACGCAGCGCTGTTCTCCCTCTTCCGCGTAGTAGACACACGACGGAGGGAGCTGTAACTCGGCTTCAATGGAGGGAACCTTGTCCGTCCTTCCGAGCCATCGTACGACTCGTCCGCAATACTGCTGTCGTCACCCTCGTCCTTGTCGTTCTCCTCCTCATCGTTGTTATTGTCGTGGCTGTCACGCCGACCTCTTTCTCCCTGTCTCGAGCCTCCCGCAGCGTACCTGGCAGCCAGCAGCGACGAGCTGTTGGTGGTCACCCCACTGCACCCGCTCCTCTTTGACGACTTGATGCGCGTGAGCAGCAGTCGGAAGGCCTGGTAGCAGCATTCGTTGTCGAACAGAAGCTTCTGCCACGAGATGAGCGCCGGCGCCCCCAGGCGCTGCAACAGATAACAAACCACTTGACTGTGAGTCCTCCCTCTCTCCCCTTGATCAACCGACACATGGTGAGCGACTGACTCACCGCCAGCTCCGCCGCCGCCGCCTGCATGAAATCAGCTCGGAAGCTCTCCTCCTTCCTCCTTGCCACAGCTGCGTCTCTACTCACCACCCAGCACCCGTAACATCGTCAGAGTCCTGCGCCCGTCCACCGTTAGCCACTCGCCCAGCTGCAAGTTGGGCACGCACCCGTCGTCCAGCAGTTTGTCGGCCCTGCGCTCCAGTCGGCGGTCCCTGCTGCGGCGCTGCAGCTCCTGCGCCACCGCCGCGGACGACGCTTGCTGCAGACATTCAGATACATCGTCACCCCCTCAGTCAGTCACTGTGTTGGAGGGGGTTTATATTCAAGGGCCTCCTTAGTAGCAGCGAGTTCTTTGTGGTCACTACCTCTCGGAAGAGCGCCAGCAGCGCCTGCTCCTTGACGCGCCACGGCAGAGCGCGCAGCTGCGAGTCCGACTGCGTCAGGAGAATAAACAAGTCAATATGGATACATTTATTCTTTACTGCATAGAGAGGAGGAGAAGTACTGCACCAACTGCTCGAGTCCTGGCAGCGCCGCTAGCTCCTGCTGCAGACGCTCCATCGCGCTCGGTCGTCAAAGTTAGCGAGTGCACAGTAATTGTACTTTGTAGACTTCACCTAGCCTTTATTACCGACGAGCCAATCACGACCCGTCAATCTCGACTTGGCCAATCGCAGCGCGAAGAGAAGACGAGAGGAATTTGAAGAAGAAGACTGTAAGTTCTCAAAATGAAGGAAATCTTGGGCATGTTTGCCGACGACGGGGGCGTGGTAGGAGCGAACATCGACGGTTCTAAGCGTGTGTGCGAGCTGAAGCAGTTGCTTGCGCATAGAGGTGGTCTCACGTGTCCGCTCAATGAAGTCAAGCTCTTCCTGGCCAAGTCAAGCGATGGGAAGTGGCTTCGGGAGGTCGATCCAGACGCCAGTATTTGCAGCGCAGAGGGAAATTGTCTCCCGAACTCGCAGCATTGATGAACGAAGGCGACGCGATGGACGAGTCGGCTCTTGTTGGCGACAAAGCCTTCGGCTTTCCTGAGAAGGGAAACCCAAGGGGTGGAGAGTTCCATGTCATTGTCCAGGTCCCGGAAGGCAGCGCCACACCTGTTGACCATAATGGTACGTACTAGTAGGAGTATGCATTAGCTCTAACAGTAACCAAGGATGTATTGGCATCTAATATTGTTGCAGTGGTCCCAGCAGCAGATTCAGACGTGGATGACGAGTCCAGCACGCCCCCACCTAGCTGCGGATCTGCAATTTTGTCTACGTTAAGCCAAGTCTACGCCTTCTTCTCGCGGAATCCAGAGTCGCCGACGAAGGAGAAGATGTAGTGGACAGCTGCATTGACAGTGATGATGAGCATAATTGACGCTGGACGACTTGTTTTCCAAGATTACTATTACTGTTTTTCACTTTAATGCAAGCAGTATAGGATTGATGACACGACCTTCTCGAACTTCATTTGGGGTGCGTTAGTGTCGGAGTGATAACATTTCTGGGGTCTGGCTTTCGCAGATTTAATTCCGATTTTCAGAACTCTTATAAGAGTTTTTAAGATATCAGTAGCCGTAAGTGACTTCTCGATATGCGAGTTCTTCATCGAGTCAGTCAGTTACTTGGTGTGGCATCCTCTTCGGTGATTAAATTAGTTTCATGCGTCGCTTTCAAGATTAGAGGAACCAGATTCGTGGCAACCGATCTATTGAAGGGAGGAATGCTGAGAACTACATGTATGTTGCGCTATAAATTCGCCTATACGCGGTTAACCTCCAGAAACCGAGCCAGCAAGTTTTCAACCTTCGGACAGAGCGCTCCACGTATTATAGTGGAGCAGACGTCCCGTACATCATCCTCAGAAAGTCGCCATTCGTCTGCGTCGGCACATTTCCACACAAAAGCTCCAGTATTTGCTGTAAACGCTCGACCCGCATCGCGTCCGTCGCATTAGCAGTGTTGGCTGGAAGAGTAGATCCATACAGTAGCTTCAACGCCGCACCAAACTCGCTGCTTGAATCTCTAGCCAGCGCCAGCTCCATGATCATCTGACGGCGCGCATCAGGCGAATGTTTCGGCTTCTGCAATGCCGATGGTGTAAGACTTGAAGCGAGAGTATGCGGAGTGAACAGCAGCCACGACTGCGACTCGGCCGAATACAAGTTTCTGCATACCACAAAGTTCTTCTCGCCATTTCAAGAACACACCCACTTACATGCTCCACCAGCAGCAGTCGACCTTTTGGAGACAGCTTCATCTTGAACTTGAGCGCATCGTCCGCGCTGCCGAATACGCAGTGTCGATACGCATTCAGAACCAACCACTTGGTCTTGTCGTCGGCGCTGTGGATAGTAACCAGACCGTCGTTCTTGTTGTAGTTCAGCTCGATGAAGCACGAACCAGTCTCCCGACGTATTCAGCATGGATCCAGTCGAAGACATCATAACCAGAGGTGAGTTTAGGAATCGCGTCGAAGTCGGCGAATTTCTCGCTTGGGTGGTCCACTTGGACATATTGATCGCCACACCCCGACGAGCTTTCACCATCAGCATCATGTTTTGCGTCCAGCGTTGCTTGCTCACTCTTCACGAGAGATGCTGTTGGATTTTCGATAGAAAGTGACAGGTTTGTACCGTACACTAACGCTATCTTTGCTCGAATCGATTCAATACACGAATACAGCCCTACCAGTTTCAGCAGTGCCTGCGCTTGACGTCCCGCGACGTCAAAATCAGAATTAATGTCGTCTACATGTAGAGGTTGAGGAGCTGTGCCATATAGTAGCTCCAGGATTTCGGCAACGGTCTTGCTTGAGTTTCCAGCTTCCAGAAGATACCAGACTAATTGCATGCGCACACTTGAATCAGAAAGAGAGGCGGCGGCTAAGTCTCTGAGAAGCTGGCAGGTAGAACCGGTTTCAGCAATTGCCACTCCTGCCACTTCCCTTCATAGTCGATACAAGAGTTGATACCTTGGTGCGGTCCGGGTGGTGATGTGGTCAGACATCCGTTTCTACTGTGGCGGTGCTTGAAGACGACCAATCCATTTGGAGTTGTGAACGGCGCGAACGTAGCAGAGGCATACTCGTCGCTGAAACGGGTAGTTGTCAAAACGTTGGGGCCGCCGGCCCTGCGAATCTCCACCACTCCCCCTTGTGCTTGCTGAAGCTCCATCAGTGGAAACACAGGACCGTCTTTAAGCAGGACGCCTTCGGTAGTCATCAATAGCAGCGGTGTATTCAGCGGGAGAACCTTGATATCGAGTTGTTCGAGAGGTGACATGGTGGCTAGTCGTCGCAAAAAGATAAATGAAGCGGTAGGCCATTTCCGATTTCTTTTTAAGAAAGCAGCAATCACATCCGCTATTCACCATCAGTCAGTCACATGCATCCATCTCATCTCATCTCATCAAACCCCTTCAACCACGTTACTTCCCTAGAGTCCTCTTTCTCAAATTTCCGCACCAATTTCTTGGAACAGTTTATCATCGTGCCGTACTTGAAGTATTGGACGAAGACGTACGGGTGGTACTTGACTACTACGATCGTTTCTTTTGCATTACCAGTGGCTGCGAATTTGACGCGTGATTACTCGTTGGACGCCGTGGAAAATTTAGGTGCCTCGCACCTCCAGTCTGACGACACAAATACAGTATGTACGAAACATGTCAACCTTTGGCCCCCATTTCACATCCGGCATGACTACCAAGAAAAAAAAACTGATAGCCGCCCAATTTGATATTTCTTATCAGGGAAGTGTATTTATGTTTTGCGTCAAAAGGCGGGATAATCCACGTTTTCGGAGGTGATCCCGAAGGTGCACGTGTTGAGGAGGCTGGCCCACGACCTCAAGTACCCCTCTGTTGGATTCAAGCCGTTCTCAACGATAGGCGGTCTGGTTGTCTTCAAGAATCACCGGACTCAATAATACATGTAGTTCTTCAATTACAATACACTATAAAATTCATCACCTTATTCTATCTAACAGGCGATCGACTGGTCAAGACTGATTGCATTGGGATTATTAATCTTTCTCCATCTCAACTTCGAAACTGACCAACAGTTTTAAGAAATTGGCTGAAGTTATGGCCAGCCATTCATCTTTTTGCGACGCCATGTCGGGTCTCGAGGATCTCGATATCAATGCGCTCCCTCTGAACACGCCGCTGCTCTTGATGGCCGCAGACGGCCGTCTTCTTACAGACGGTCCGATGGTTCATTGGGTCGAGCTTCAACAAGGGCGAGACGAAGCTGTAGAGATTCGCAGGTCTGGCGGCCCGAAGATTTTGACCAGCGGGTGCAGCTGGAGCCATGAGTCCGCCTCGATGGATTTGGATGCATTCACGACTGCAAGTGGAATGGTTGCTCTCAAGAGCCGCCACACTGGATGTTGTCTAGGGACACCGATGGGGCGCCGGGGCCACGGTGTGGAATGCAAATACGCTTACGGAGGCACATGGCAGGAGTGGCGATTTCTGAAATCTGTTTTCCCTCCAAATTTACTCTGTGAAGACTTAGCCGCTACCGCTCTCTTTGACTCAACTGCGCGTAGACATTTCACTTTGTACCTTTTGGAGGCGGGGAACTCATGCAGGACAGTTATCGAGATTTTGAAGCTTTTATATGGCACACCCCATGGTGCGTTGACCGTCACGGAGCGACAAGATCAGGCGTTGCTGAAGCTGATGTATCCGGTTGCGTCGATTACGAGCATTCGCGCAATGATGGCACTAGTGTACGGTGCAAACCTGTCACTTCCTAGCAAAGAACCAACGACGTCCATAACCAAGAGTGAACAAGCAACGGTGGACGCAAAGTATGCTGCTGATGGTAAAAGCCCGTCCGAGTGGGGCGAGCAATATGTCAAAGTGGAGCATGCAAGCGTGAAACGGATTGACTTCGACGTGATCCCACTGAACTCGCCTCTGGTTATGGTTTCTTCGACTGGATCCACGTTGAGCTCGTCGGAGACGGGTTCCTGCTTCATTGAGCTGAGCTATTGTGACGACGAGGGTCTGGTTACGATTCGAAGTGCCGACGACAAGACCAGGTATCTAGTTCTGAATGCGTACCGACACTGTGTGTTCGGGAGTGCGGATGTCGCGCTCAAGTTCAAGATGAAGCTGTCTCCAACTGGCCGTCTGCTGCTGGTGGAACACTTATCTGGCTGCGTGCTTGAAACGAAGACTCGAGGCGAACACAACTTTGCGGTCTGCAGAAACCTGTATTCGCCAGAGTCGCAGTCGTGGCTTGTGTTTACTACGCAAAAGCTTGTTCATAACAACGCAGCATTGGTACCGCAGAAGCCGAAGCGTTCCCCGGATGCGCGACGTCAGTTGATCATGCAACTTGCACTGGCCGGGAAATCAAGCAGTGAGGTTGGCGAGGTGTTGAAGCTACTGTACGGATCGAATGTGCCGGCAAACGCTCCTACTGTGGCGAATGCGATTCGCATCGAGCGTTTACAGCAGATACTGGAGTTATTTGAAAAAGGAGTGAAAACGCAGGCTATTGGTGATTTCCTTAAGATGATGTACGGGACATCAGCTCCACTGTGAAACACGGATCGCCCCTTTCAGAAGCTGACGATGCATTCAACACCCGAATATATGTAGTTCATCTTTTACTTTTATTCTAGTAGTGGAGGAAGGCAGAAGCCTCCTCATAATTGAAAAGCGTTTATATGTCAGAAGACAGCTACTTCTGTACACCTATAGATCGACGTTTGCTACTCGCAGACATCGATAAGCGTGCGTTCGCGCTGGAGGTTGGACCGACCCAGCGTAATTTGTTTTTATTTTTCGTCTTCGAATTTCATGAAACGTTCTGAAGAGCGGAAAATTGCATTACAGTCTTAAGACCCACGGAATATGCTTGTAATGATTCAGATTGAAACTTCTTGATATTTTCACATTCCATGAGTCACAGTCGTAAACGTCAAATCTGAAGTAGTCAACTTTCCGAGGATGAAGCTTTATTCATCGGCACTCGTTGGTCCCTCCGATCCTACAGCTACGATGACAGCGAAGAAGAAAAATAAACCGACCGATGACGCGGTGGAACAAATCAGGGATTTCCTCTCAATGCAAGGCAGACTCACGGAGGACGACGTCAACGATCTGATCGCATTAATAAAAAATCGTCTCGGCTTTGATGACGTAGTAGGGACACCTACTAGTGACTGGTTTCCTGAGAAAATGGAGCATCTCTCGGTGACGAATATGGAGGGCGAAGACTTCCCGTTCGAGTACCTCAAGATGAAGAAGATGCCTCCAGTAGCGCACCCAGACGTTTCGCTAAACATTTTGGAGAGGCGTTGCGATCGGATAATTTTTGATGGGCTGATGGAAGAGTCACTGGACAAAACCCCAGGAACTTGGTCGTGGAGGGGAATCCAGGCATTGGGAAGAGCCGATTTTACGTCTACTGTGCCTCTCGCTTGATTCGTGGTCTAGTGGATGAGGAAATGAAGGCGCACAAGTACACCTTGGTGCTCAACTTCGGAAAGAATTACCTCACTTACCTATGGAGAGAGAAGGCATTCATGAGAACGACCGAGGATGAGGTTGAGAAGCTTACACTCAGTACCTCTGTCTTGCGCTTAGTCAAGGACAACTCGTCCATGCTTGTGGGCTGGAACGGCGTGTCGATTCTTTTCACTTCACCAACGCTGGCCCAACTTAAAGACTACAAGAAAGGGACAAATTGTAAGTCGTTCATCGCCCCTATGTGGGAACTGACTGAGCTCCGAGCGTGCAATGCGATCGCGGATGAAGCGCACCGACTGTCCGATGATGAGCTGGAGTCGAGGTTTGTGAAGTGGGGCGGAAATCCAAGATTTGTTTTTGACGAGACTCCCGGCAAGGTCGACGCGATGATTAACTCGGCGATTGCATCTTTTCGCGCTCAGGATGTTTTCAATTGCTCGAGCAAGAGCAACCCTCTAGAGCCCAGCACGTATAGCCACTGCGTGGCTGCTATGGTCCCCACGTCTCCTGATTATCGAACATTTTACGTTCGTTTCAAAAGTTGTCGCGGCCAAAGTTATTGAACGTGCAAGTGATGAAACTCTGAAGTTGTTTGCCAGATTTGCACTTGGTTACGAGGAGAGCGACGTTGCAGGGTCATTCCGAGCCCAACTATACGAAAATATTTGCTCACCGCTGGTTCATAAAGAACAGTAGTGCTGGAGTTGACGGAGAAAAGAAGGCATTGCAGAGAACGAGGTCGGTCGTGTTGCGTGCACTTGACGAGCCTCCTCAACCCTCACTCGACACTAAACGCGATGCTGAAGCTGCATTCCAGTCCGAAAATCCAACCGGTATGCTATGCTCAGAAGGCAGCACCACCAAGCTAGCTCCGGTTTGCAATATCCCGGCATTGTCAGGCCCAAGAACCATGACAAGCGGTAAACGAAAATACGCGCAGGATTTCGCTAACGTGGAAGTGCTTCCGAGCCGGAAAAACAGACGTGTCGGGCACATACTCAACATCGCAGAGCAAAACCCCAAATGAAGTTTATGCCACGAACCAGAGGATCCAGGTCACTTGGATATTCCCGAAGTTCTGAAGTTTGAATGGTTTGATTCTCTTACTGAAGTCGATCCAACCGATGCGTGGACGTACTACCGTCCAAAGTCGCGCATTTACGCGGTAGACGCGTTGATGGCGGAGCTGACACATGGGTCGGAGAGGTACGCTGGCAAGTGCTACGGTCTTAAAATGACGTGGAGTGGGAAGCTCAATGTAGACGTAAGTGCCGTGAAAAAGATAGCGAATTAGGCAAAGTTGCGCGACTACCAGTTTGTGCTTGTGTTCGTGATCCCGCCGAAACTGGAGTCCGGCATGAAGTGGCAATCCACTCAGACGCTCCAAGGTGCGGGGTACAAGAAAAGCGGGGTGCTTCGGTTCTTGACCCGTACTGCGAGTTTAGACCAAGTATTGGGAGAAAGTGGGTATGACGACGCAAGTCGATGGTGTTTGCGTTCCCGCAGTCGTTCATTTATCGGGATTTTTAAACTAATAAATTCGCGTTGCCATGTCTGGCAACCAAAAAATGACCGCAGGTTTTAATTTTGACGTTTTTCATCACTCTAAATCTCTTCAAACTCGCGAAACTTTGGCACTGTTCAACTCGTTAAATAATCTAAGATATTTTCTTGAAGCCAAATTGCTCTCACCTAGCAATACGAAGGAAGGTGTGGAGCTGCAACCAGATGCAGGCGGGGTCGTGAAGATCGGCAGATTAGGATCTGACAGCATTTTGGACTCGGAAGGCGATCAGACAGTAGTTAAATAGTAGTATAAACCATTACTTCAAGTACTTCAGTAGGAAAGTTTCTGTTCTTCTGATGCAAAGATGAGAACAATAATTGCGATTTTGTTTTTGTTGGCCACCAACACGATATATGTACTGTAGGTAAGAACTATCGTCAGCAGAATTTTCGAGCAGGAAGACCAATATTCCCTGTTGCTGACGTAGCCACTTAATCCAATCGATAAACCACGAAGCTGTGAAAAATTGGGAAAGAGAACTTCGAAGAAAAAGGCTGTCGATTTGCCCCGATGTCAAAGTACGTTCCTCCGAGTCATCCTCTTCCTCAGTCGCGAAGCCCCGATTCTCATAGTCATCGGAGTCATTCTCCTCGACAGGCTTGCTGTAACCCCTCAGAAGGCGCTGGTTCGGGCCGCTACGCGGCACGGTCGAGATCTTGGCCTGGTGGTCACAGCGATCGCCTCGCTTGCGAAGAGGAAGGACGCCGCGGCAACCACCAAAACTTGAGAGAGACGCATGGGGTTCGTTTGTTGTTGGGCGTGGGGACTTGACCACAGGAAAGCAAGTTGCAAAGTGAGGGTCGACCAGGTTGGCCTCCGGACATCGTGGGGCTCTCGTACTGTACGTGGGTTCTACGTACTGTATCGTATCCTCGTATAGTACACGGCCCATGTATTATATCGGGTAACATGGAATACAATGGATTCGAAGCCAGGGACATATGCACTGTACAAAAACTGACATGAGTCAATACATATTACTGTACATGTATTATATATGGGGTAAGCAGCTTGCCGTAACCTTACACTACAATGTGCTGAGTGCATGTATGGATTGTGCTTTGCTCCAATTTTGTCTAAACGAAGGCGTGAATCGTTGTTTTGTTTTAACTTCTTCGTAACTCGCTGTCTTGCCATAACCCAACGACCCTCGATTCGATGGTATTGGATGCCATGCTGTAGCTTAGACTTTGGCTATCGTTGGGATGACACATTTGCTACTGTTAATCCACGATTTCCGAGTAAGTCAAGCTTGAATCGAGCTTTTCGCTCGTGCATCGGAGGGCAAGTCGCTACTCAATGATTGTTCTAGGAGTTGGCGTTAAATTAGCGAGCCTAATCGACTGACCGAATTAGTGAAGTGCACAAGTATCTGCATGTACCGTAGTGCAGTGCAGTACAGCGCAGCAAAGAAACCAGTTTATTAATGGATTACGGACTTTGCTCCGCTACAAAGGAAAGCTACGAAGTGAAAGTCGATTACACGTACCGTATGCGCATCTCGATCAGATAATAATTCAAATGATCCATTAATTTTACATTCATTATTTTTCATTGTACATGTACTTACAGTAGGGGGTTTCAAAGTTACTGTAGCGAATTTTTTGGAAAATCTTTGGCTAATTATTGGTCGTTAGCTGTAGCCGAATCTGTATTGAATATTTCATGGTTGACCTGTTTTACGTAGCACGCGTATAACGCGATGATAGATGACATAGAACATGAATAATGCATCAGAACGTTGACGAATTTTAAAACAATACACGACCACGTCGTTGTGGCAAAAGAAAGTTTTATTTTGCCGTGATTGCAGGCTAAGTACTTCGAGGTATTACTATGCTTCATAAAGTAAACTATACAAGTATGCGCTAAGAATATCCTCACCCCTTCTCTCACTTTTGCCCGCTCGACACCGTAGTGTTTTCCAAATAAATCGCAGAAACTCAAAGAACTGTATCGAACGACCGCATCGACATTGACCTGGAGCGATGCTGCGTGAAGCAGGCGCGGGGGAGGGTAATAGTTTGAACAGGACATTATGCGATCAGGCGCCAACTGAAGTGGTTATGCCATTGATACCCGCAAAAGTTACTTGGATCAACCTTTTGAGTATCACCGCTAGTTTCCGAGCCGCTGCAATCGAAAAAGTAAACTGTCGTGCCGCTTATTAAAAAGGTGAAAGCGTCCCAAAGAGGGGATTTGCCACCAAACAGTTTGTTTGTTTGTTTTGTTTTGTTTTTGAATTGAGGATCATTATTGTCGCTTTGCTAATAAACCAAGCAGTTTCCACACATCATCAGGTTCGCTCATCTTGGATTGCGCGACTTGCCATAGAAGCCCGACATCTTCGATGTCGCTAACGTGTCCAGCTGGTACTTAGATTACCACAGTTCGGATGGACTGATGATGCTGCCTCAGCATCATCGTATCCCGCCTGCCTACAGTTCATGTGAAACAATTGGCGGGAATTGGCGGGAACCCGGGTACCCATCGGGTCCCGATTCGGGACCCCGGTTCCCGCAAAACTACCGGTGTTCGATGATCAAATGTATTGTACATGTAGTGTTGATCTATGACCTACGTATAGGTAGCTTAAGCTCGGTAGGAAAATATGTAGAAACGGAAGGTCAATTCATTTTCGCTCTCGTCTTGTGTCTCTCCATGAAAATCCAGACGATTGCCTGGTACGGCGGCAGAGTGCTCTCCGGCCTCATCGCTAATCTCGTGCTCGTGTAAGATGGACTTGTGCATGATAAGGTATGTTATTCTGGTCTATTCAGTACCGGTGACAGATTTTGTGGGTAGTCTTTTGCCGACAGCACTTGGGTTTGATGGTTAAAATTGTTCATGAGTCTTCGGGAGCGCCGCCAATAGATGCACATGGACGAGGAAAACGTGTGGACACATCCGCCGATGACTCGGAGGGTCCGACGGCGACGGGAGAGCCGGCAGCAGCCGGGCTCTAGATATACCAATGGCTGGTCAGGGAGACCCAAGTATACTGAGATCAAGTCAATCGGAACCCGGGAGTAATCCGTCTGATGAGAGGCACCAACGAGCACAAGGAGACCGACATGACGACGACCAGCAAGAAGGCCGAAGTCATCCTGGGAAGTGACAATTACTTCCACTGGGAGTTCGCGATGCGTATGACGCTCGCGAGGAAGGGGCTGCTGGCGCACGTCCAAGTGGTGAAGGACCCGACGGAGATGACGGAGGCCTGGATGCTCAACGACATGAAGGCGCTCGGTCTGATCGCTCAAGGCGTGGCTGTGGAACACCACACGAAGATTCGGTCGGCGACGTCGGCTATCCAAGCTTGGAATACACTACGCGAGTTCTACTACGGGACGACGATGCATAATCGGGTCGCGATGACTCGTCGGCTCCACGAGTTCAAGATGGAGGACGGTGCGACGATGGCGAAGCACCTGGACATGTTCGACAAGCTCATCGTGGGCCTGTAGACGCTTGGAGAGCCCCTCGATGACTCCCGACAACTCGTCATCCTGCTGAGCAGCTTGCCGGCGGAGTACGAGTTGATCGCATCCATCGTCGAGAACTCGAAGGACGTGACCCTCATCGAGGTGAAGGAGAAGCTGCTCAAGGAGTACGAGCGGCAGGAGAAGAAGGAGACCACGGAGCGCGCGTTGAAGGCTACCTCATTCGGAGGTAGGGGCCAGAACGGGAAGTTCGGCAAGGGCGGCAAGGCATTCGGCCGCAAGCGCAACGGCGGACGAAAGGTCGGTGGCTTCAAGGGCAAGTGCTTCAACTGTGACCAAGTGGGCCACATAAAGCGGGACTGCCCGGAAAAGGCAAATAGAGACACCGCCGAAGACTCGGTGTTCGCTGTGGCGGAGAATCCACCAGCGGGTTGGCTGATCGATAGTGGGGCGACGGCTCACATGACGCCTCACCGCGATGACTTGTTCGAGTACAACGAGTCGTCGGCGGACATATATGTGACAATCGCGGACGGGAAGAAGACCCGCGTGGCAGGGAAAGGGTCGGTGTGCCTAACGGGCATCGACGGCAAGCGCATCAAGATGGTGGAGGTGCTCCACATCCCCGGACTCGACCGGCGACTACTCTCGGTTGGGTGGTTGGCTGAACGCGGCATGAGTGTCGAGTTCCAGCGGAAGTCGTGCGTCATCTGGGACAAGACGAAGGCGATCGCTTCGGGGAAGAAGGTCGGCAAGGCGTACTTGCTGGACTGCCAGCAGGACATGGCGCACTACACCGAGTACTCGGGAGTCGACGGAAAGTGGGAGCTATGGCACGCTCGTATGGGACACTTGAACGGAGACGCTATGGCGAAGACCCGCGAGGCGACGGACGGTCTCCCGACGACTCAACAGCAGACGAAGACCCTGTGCTGAGGATGCATGAAGGGCAAGCAGACGGTCGCACATTTCCCGTCGCGGTCGACGTCGGCGACGACTCGACCGCTGGAACTGGTTCATACGGACGTGATGGGTCCTATGAAGACGAAGTCCAAGGGCGGAGCGAGGTATGTTCTCACCTTTGTCGACGACTACTCGCGACACGTCGTGGCGTACTTCTTGACCAAGATGAGCGAGGTCGTGACCAAGTTCAAGTCGTTCATGAAGCTGTACGAGAACCAGTGGGGGCAGCGCATTAAATGCCTGCGCTCGGTCAACGGCACTGAGTTCGTGAACACGCCGATGACTGAGATCTGCCGGGTGAATGGGATTATGCATCAGAAGACGGTCCCGTATAGCCCCAGCAGAATGGCGTGGCGGAGCAGATGAACCGCACGATCATGGAGAAGGCTCGAAGCATGCTACACTATAAGGGCGTGGTTTCGATATGGTGGGCAGAGGCGGTCAGCACTGCTGTCTATCTGATCAACCGGTCGACGAACAGCATGCACCCGACCAAGACTCCGTACGAGTTGACGTTCAAGTCGAAGCCTCGGCTGGACCATCTTCGAGTCTTCGGGTCGATTGGTTACGCCCATGTCGACAAGTCGCGACGCACCAAGTTGGAGCCGAAGAGCTTCAAATGTATGTTTCTTGGGTACGCCGACGACTCAAAAAGCTACCGAGTGTACGACTTGGAGTCGAACAAGGTGAAGGTGTCCAAGTCGGTGAAGCTGGACGAGCGCGAGGTGAACGGCATCTACGACACGTCGCCCAGCGAGAACTCGCCGATCATTGAGTTGACGGAAGATGCCGAGGATGCGGCACTGCCCGAGGAGATACAACGACCTGCCGCCGACGAGCCGATGGAATCAGTGGAAGAGACCGTCGAGGACACGGAGATGCATGAGGTGGAGACGTCGGAGCCATCCATGCAGGAGCTGACAACGTACCGACGACTCGCGAGACCGGTATTGAATGATGACATGGTCTTCCACCCCGAGCCGGAACGGACCCGGCGCGCCCGAGAACCGGTACTACTACTTGGAGATGGTTCCGCAGACGGTGAGGAGTCGAAAGAAGATGGTCCCGATGACTCGGACAACGATGATCACTTCTGGCCACCGTCTCCAAAGCGACCCAGGGTGGACGAAGACAGCCTATTGGCTGAGGCGGTGCTGGCCTACGCCGCAGACGTCGGCGATGCCAATGACGCACCCACCACGTATCAGCAGGCCATGCAGAGCGACGAGTCGTCGGAGTGGGTGAAGGCAATGAATGCGGAGCTCAAGGCACACGCGGACAACGCATCATGGACGCTGGTCCGTCGGACACCGAGTGCTCGACCGATCGGTTGTCGCTGGGTGTTCGCAAAGAAACGCGACGAGCACGGCCGAGTCATCAGGTATAAGGCCCGCCTGGTGGCGAAAGGGTTTAAGCAGAAGTATGGCGTGGACTTCTTCGAGATGTACTCGCCCGTGGCCAACATGAACTCGATCCGAGTGGTGTTGTCGGTTGTGGTGGCCGAGGCGTACATCACCGAGCAGCTGGATGCGGACACCGCCTTTCTCAACAGCGGGCTGGTGGAGCGCGTCTACATGGAGGTACCCTACGGAATCATCAACGCGAAGAACATGATGTGTCGGCTGCAGAAGGCGATCTATGGTCTGAAGCAGGCGGCAAATGCCTGGCATAAGACCATCCACCGAGTCTTCGTGGGCATCGGATTTCGGAGCTGCGGCGGTGACCAGTGTATATACGTCAAGGGCGAGAAGGGCAGGTTCGTGTACGTTTGCCTGTACGTGGACGATATGATCATCGCAGCCAAGACGAGCAGCGAGATCCAGGAAGTCAAGGTGGCGCTCAAGAATGCGTTTAAGATGAAGGAGTTGGGCGAGGCCAAGTTCATTCTCGGTATGGAGATCGACCATGACTCATCGCGAAGACTCTCATGATCAAGCAGACTCGATACATTGATGATGTGGTGAAGCGGTTCAACCAGCAGGACGCCAAGGTGGTGGTGAACCCGTGCGAGTCGGGCATGAAGTTGTCGAAGACTCAGTCGCCGATGACTCAGAAGGAACGTGAGGAAATGCAGGCGAAGCCCTACCGAGCACTCATTGGCTGTTTGCTGTACATTACAACGTGCACCAGACCTGATGTGGCGTACATCGTGACCCAGTTGTCGCGCTTCCTCGAGAACCCCGGGCAGCAGCACTGGAAGGCTGCCATCCGCGTGCTCAGGTACCTGAAGAGCACCCAAGACACCGGCATCGCCTACAATGGGAACGCGAAGAAGGTCGAGGTGACAGCGTACACCGACGCCGACTGGGGCAGCAATCTCGACGACCGACGCTCGGTGTCGGGCATCATGGTGGTGATTAGCGGGGCGCCGGTGGTCTTCAAGTCGAAGTACCAGCGCACGGTGGCGCTCAGCTCGGCGGAGGCCGAGTACATGGCGCTGAGCCTGTGCACGCAGGAGGTGCTGTGGACCCGCGCCATGCTCAAGGACATGGGTCACGAGCAAGTGGGAGCTACCCAAGTATGGGAGGACAACTAGGGCGCAATCGCCCTCGCAAACAACGCTGGGTACAACGCGAGGACCAAGCACGTGGACATCAAGCATCACTTCATCCGCGAAAATGTGTCCCGAGGACTCATCGTCGTCAACTACGTGCCGACGGAGGACCAGCTCGCGGACATGCTTACCAAGGCGTTGGGGACGAAGAGGCTCAAGTACCTGATCAGCGCAAGCGGAATCGTCGGGACGGCCGTGCAGCATTAGCGACGAGTGGGAGTGTTCATGAGTCTTCGGGAGCGCCGCCAATAGATGCACATGGACGAGGATAACGTGTGGACACATCCGCCGATGACTCGGAGGGTCCGACGGCGACGGGAGAGCCGGCGGCAGCCGGGCTCTGGATATACCAATGGCTGGTCACGGAGACCCAAGTATACTGAGATCAAGTCAATCGGAACCCGGGAGTAATCCGTCTGATGAGGGGCACCAACGAGCACAAGGCGAACAAGAAGGAAAGCAGGAGGGGAAGACTAGAGAGTAGTTTGAGAGACGATAACATTTAATCTCACTTCGGAATTTGCCCCCTCAACCACAAGCTACAAACCAACAAAAATTGCCCCGACGGTACCAATATGGGGGCCTAAGATTAAATAAATAATTCGCGATTTGGTCGGTGTCATTTGCGGGAACCGGGCGCTTCAGCCGCAAATCAACTCCATCCCAAAGTGTGGATTTGCAAACTGAGCTAGTCTGTAGGATTTCACTTCGTTAAGCACCAAAAGATAACCTACTCCTTGATAGTGCTGCTACTAAGAGAAGAAGATGTGTTCGATTACCGATTTATCTGACCTCTCAATTTATGTGAACTAGGATGCTAATTACTCGACAACAGTGCGGAACACCACACCAGAGCGGGATGTTGAGTGTAGTTGTACATGCCGAAGCTTGAATCTGTTGTCATGTCTGCTGATGAAGTCGCCTAAATGTTTGGAGTACCGCAGCCGTTGTAAAAGAGAGTTGAACTTGGTTTGATCCTCGGAGTTTGATAGTCTTAGGAGCCGCCGATAGTTGGAGCTGAATGTGCTGTAAATGGTTGATATCGCTGTTTCAAGGGGTTCCGGTCCTCCATCCTCGAAACAAACTTTGTTCCTCTCAGTCCATTGGCGGTGAAGTGCTGCGCATCTCACTATATTCCATAGGCAAAGCACTGCCTCTCTGTGATGGGACCATGCTGACCGAATTTCCTGCTTGTGCGGAAGTACCATGGAAGTCCAACTGATGCCTCCTACGAAAAAGATGCTCCAGTCCTTCCAGAGGGCTTTCCAGATTTCGTTTGAGTGGTGGCACTCGAGGAAAAGGTGCTGCGCAGTTTCGATAGCTGTGCAGCCGTAGTCACGGCACTGCTGAACGTTTGGTATCTGGTGCGCTAGAAACCAGAATCGAGACCTTACAGGTAACAGTCGGTATGCAATCCTCATTTGCAAGTCATCCTGCACAGGTAGGAGTACTTGCCGCTGTTTCTTGCAAAATTGGACAAATTTTGTGACATCAGACGCACTTGTATCTTGTAAGTCACGACAGATAGGATGTTCGTCACGTTCTTGAGATTTGGGGCAGAAGAGTAGTTTTAGGGTCGAGCGTTGAAGGATAGTGCTGCTACTAAGTACCTCGATGTAATCTGAAAAGATCTTTCATTTTTTTGTTTCTTAGACTTAAAACTCAATCTCAAGATTTTAACCTTGCGTTGCTTGTTTTTCGTCGGTGGCTGTTTGGTGCGGCCCCAGACAAGGCCATCACATGCGTGGTAGGAAAGGCGACCGTATGTGTATTCTATCAATTGATACGTGTTGCTGTGCGATTGCGTCCGTCATTGCTGCCCAGCGTGCGCCCCCTGCTAGATGGCGTAAGATGTATTATATAATATGTAGCGTCAAGCCGCTGCCTGTCATACTTGCCACAGCTTCTCGATGTAAATGCGATTCTTTTGAACACGCCTCTACTCTCCATGACGGCGGCAGACATCTTCTTTTAAAGAAGATGTCTTTTAAAAAAGCGTCTATGAAGGAAGTGATTATTTTTGTTTGCGCCTCAATAAGCGAGTTCGCATCTGATGAATTTGGCGGTTGTCAACTCCGAGCGGAATTGTTGTCTTCGAGGTAATGAATGCTTGAGGATAGCAACAGACCATCGTTTTGATTGCAATAGTGCGTATGAAGGCAACATGCAGCTATTTTTCTTGCATTTGGATAAAAAGATGGTGAGACTATCAAGGACAAGAACAACACGCTCAATATGAAGCGTGCGCTACGTCAAAGAGTGTTCCAGCAGTGTTCAGGTGAAAGCTAGATGATTGGGGGGGGTACGAACGGCACACAGCGCTCCACTAAATATGCAATACTAGTACCCGTTCCGTGTTTGATGCTGCTCTGCGCCTACGCCTTGTCGACTGGAACAGCGAACGCCGAGGGCGAGCTCGAAGCCGACGCTGACATTGGGGCATCAAACAGACGCGACACAATCTGGTCGATCTCTTTCAGCGACTTGCCGTACTTGACGAGCACGAGGATGAAGTCCTGGCGCTCCTTGCCGACGAGAACGTCACGTCGGTCCGGGGCCGCCTGCACTTGGGTCGTGGGGGCAGCGGCCACGGTGCGGGGCTCCAGGATGCGCCAGCTCTCCCAGTGTAGGCGGTTGTGGTTCGCGCACTTGGCGACGCAGCAGTCGTCGCACTGGAGGACGTTGCCCGTGTGGCACGACACGAAGAAGAGCGCGCAGCTGGCGTCCGTCTCCATGGTGAAGAGCTCCCAGTCGCCCGGTTCCTTCGGGTCGAAGACGCACTCGCCCGACGCGCGCACCTGCAGGTAGCGGCCGTTGCGCGCGCATTGGATGGCCACTTTGTCGTCGCGCACTCGACGCAGCACGAGCTGCTCGTACACGTCGCGGCTGTCTTCGAGGCAGCGCGCCTTGGAGGATCCGAGCGGGTTCTGCAGGTTCTTGCGCTTGGACAGCGACTGCAGGATGACGGGCACGTCGAACGGAATCTCGGACAGGTCCATGGCTGCAGGTGTTGAGGAGAAGCGGAAGGAGAAGCTGGAATGATCACGCCCCCTAAAGATTGCCGGTTAAAATAGTAATGGTAACAGAAATTACTACTACCGTAGTATGATGAAATGAGGAGTAATATCAATGTAAGAAATACTACTACGAGTTCCAGACATCGTTGCTAGACGAGGCCTTAATCGCTTTCGAATATCCGACGTGGTTGCGGCTCCCACAGCCAGTCTGGAAACATGATCTGCTCGCGGGTCATGGCGTCCACATCCACCGTAATTGGTTTAGAAGGAAACGAGAGCGCCGTCATGTTGGCGTACAGCTTCGTGTTGCCATCAAAGCACTCGTCGGTGTTGATGTACTTCGTTCCAACTGTGGTGTAGTCCGCGTCAAAGTCGCTGCAAGAAGAGGTCGGGTAGGTTGCAATAGTCAGCGAGTTGCCAAAGCTGGGGGAGATCTTGAAGTATGTATCGTCGGTGAAACTTGGGTGGGATTTTCCGTCCGCTTTGTAAACAACAGCCCCTCTCTTCACCACGCAGTTTGTTCCATCGATATAGTTCTCCATAACCAGATACGGCACTCCGTCGAATACTGAGTTAGCGTGGGTCACAGCTTTGCCGATGCACTCACGGTATTCGTAGAGTGTAGTACCTCCCGCAAATACTTTCGTGCAAGTTGGTGTTCCAGAGGTCACGCAAGACAGATCGTTTGACACGACAGTCTGCACAGGAACTCCAGCACATGAGTTTTTTAATCAAAAATCACGACTGCTGTCATCAGTCCCGAGGTAGGAAGTGTCTCTAAACCGCCAACCGAAAACGCCTTGGCGCAGCCATACCAGCTGTCGCAATGGTCGCTCGCAAAACAGGTCCCCGACAAGAGCTGACGCTTGCTCACTGTCGTGCTGGAATCCATAGTGCCACAGTACTGGTCACTGTACGTAGTGATCTCTGCCGTGCTCTCAGCGGTGAGCATGACTTTGAAGCTTGTCGCATCGTCCGTATTCGAGTGACAGGAGCCGTCTGCAGTGTATACCGTCACGTTCGAATACCCTTTGCAGTCAGAGCTGTCCCATTCTCGCATGATTAAATACTGCGTGAAGTTGCCAAATGTGTTCATCGTGTAAGTATCGTAGTCGTCACTCGTGCAGCTCGAAACAGAGTAGAGTGACGAGCCGTCACGGCCACACTCCGACTTCGCGGGATCCTGAAACCCGCCAATACAGTCGAACCCACGCGTAAATGTGAGCTTCACCGGCGTCCCCGAACATGAGCTTTCATCGTAGACTGCAACAACCACTGCGTCTGTCGTGCCGGGCCCTCTAACGTCGATTCTCGTTCTGTTGATGCAGTTGCTTCCCGTGTTTCCCATGACCTCCGACCACGGAACTTGCGTATTCCACGAAACCTCCGTACAATCCGGATCACTGTAGGCGGTGTACGTTAACAGCGAGTGGTCGAGCGAGATACTTGAACTCGCAGTGCCCAAACGGTTCGTGTGGCATTTCCAGCTTGCTTCACTCAGACGGTAGGCTTCGGCTTCATCCAGCGTGCTGTCATATCCACACCACCTCGCACTTTCTATTCGTATCGAAGCGTTGTTGAGAGCTTTCTACTTGATAGTAGTCCACGCAGTCGGACACGGAGTAGCCCGCTCTATCCGATTTGCACACGGGGTTATCGCGGTCTTTCTGGGGCACGCAGGCCAGGTCTTGCCGCATGCGCAACGATGTCGCGGGTGCAGTGCACGAATCGTCGTCATACATTGTCAACGTTGTCACCTGACTCTGCGCATCAACGACCACGGCTCTTAGCGCGATCGCAACGATATACCATAGGATCCACATGGCTGCCTTGGACGAAATGATGAAAGCTGCTCTGTTCGGGAGGAAAAGATCGCGTCCCTCTTGAAGGGGCGCCCCCATGAAGCCGGTACTTGAAGTCCAATTTTGTCCTTACATCGTTTTTTTTTCTGGCACCCTTTGGTCATAGTGACTTGTCAAGTGAGTCAATCAACAGAGCCAACAACACTATCAACCACCTTTTTCTGATGCTCCTGAAGTTCTTGGTAACTCCAGCGTTCCACTTCGCTCAGGAACGGATCCTTGATCTGCTTGTCCAATTCATGAACGCCCTGCAACTCTTCAATAACTGCAGCTCCGCAGAACGGCACATACGTTTCCGAGTACCCTCCTTCATGAGCGAACACAATCCGCCCTCCGCACAGCCGCTTGGCCGCTTCAACCAGTTCACGAGCCATGAACCGAAACACGTTGCTGCTCAGAATCATCGCCGCCAACGGGTCCGCATACGACGCGTCAAACCCCGACGAAACCAGGACGAAATCCGGTTTAAACTTGTCCAACGCCGGCACCACGACGTTCTTGAACGCATATTCGTACGCCCCCGAGCCAGACCCTGGCGGCAAGGGAACGTTGATATTGAACCCTTCACCCTTTCCATCTCCTCTCTCCGTAATAGCCCCACTGTCCGCCGGATAATTGTTGTCTTGGTGCAGCGACACAAACAACACATTATCGTCCTCATAGAACGCCTCCTGCGTTCCATTCCCATGGTGGACGTCGTAGTCCACAATGGCGATTCTCCTGATCTGCGTCGGGTACGCGTCCAACAAGTGCTTTGCCGTGATGGCTACATTGTTAAGCAGACAGAAGCCCATGCCGCGATCTTTCACGGCGTGATGTCCAGGTGGACGTGTAAGAGCGTAGGCTCTGTCCACCCGGCCGTCCATCACAGCGTCCGCCGCTGCGATGACCCCTCCAGCCGACAGCCGCGCGACGTCAAAGGCGAACTGGGAGAACGGCGCTTCTTCCCCGGCGTTGCCGCCTTCTTCCCGGGCTGAGGCTCGCTCCAGTTCCTCCAGGTAGCGACGCGTGTGCACGCGCTCCAGTTGCGCATTTGTGGCGACTTGGGGCTTGACGATCTCCAGCTGCTCCAACAGACCGGACACCGCCAGCAGCGAGTGGAAGCGGCGCTTGGTCTCGGGCGACTCCCAGTGGCGGAACGGCTCCACCAAGGCCGAGTACTGGACGCTCCAGGGCCGATGCCACAGGTAGCGCTCGTCGAAGACGTAGCCGACCTTCATTCCTCTTCCGCAAAATGCGCACTTGAACCCCTCAAGATCGTTCTGGTGTACCCTACACGAAATACATAACGTCTACACAATCCATTGAACACCGCACAATTTGACTGGCAACAATGCTGTCGATCCGTGCGCTGGTGTCGCGCAGCTCTCGCGGCGTGCTGGGGGCTTCGCAGCGCTTCTCCGCCCGTCGTCATGTAGCTGCGTTGTCTGCACATCCGTTGGTGTCTTTCTCGCCCGCTACTTCCGTCTGTGGGCGTCGCAATTGCTCCTCGAGCGACTCGTCCAAGCCCGCAGACCATGCTCATGCCTTTTCCGACGCCGAGAAGCCCAAGCTGACGGTGGATCAGATCCTGAACCACGTGTCCATCATGGAGCAGTGGACGTGCAGCGGCTGCGGCATCGAGCTGCAGTACGAAGAGCCCAAGCAGGTCGGGTACTTCCCCAAGCAGCTGCTGAGCAACGTGCACGACCTCAAGGAGCTCAAGCGCCTGCGCTGCGAGCGCTGCTTCCAGATGACGCAGTACGGCAAGATCTCGGATACCAAGATGCCGTACCAGGAGTACGAGAAACGCGTCATGGAGCTGCGCAGCAAGGACATGCTCATGATCCAGCTCGTGGACATCCTCGACATCTCCGGCAGTCTGCTGCCCAAGGCGCGCCACATCTTCGGCAAGAAGCCGGTTATGCTCGTGGTGAACAAAGGAGACCTGGTGCCCACCAAGTCGGGCATTCGCAGGCTCATGAGGAGGATCAAGCAAGAGGCCAAGTAAGGAGTTGGCTGTTGGAGGTGTGTCGTTGTAGTAGTGGAGACTTATGCTGGCATTGTTTTGTGTGTTGCAGGGATGCGGGCATTGACAACTTGATCTCGATCTACTTGATTAGCGCCATGAAGCGCATTGGCATGAAGGAGATCGTGGAGGATGTGGCCAAGTACCGCGAGGGTCGCGACATTTGCGTCGTGGGCGCGGCCAACGTGGGCAAATCGACGTTCCTCAACTCGTTCCTGTCGCACCTTGTGGACCGCAAGTGGCAGCACAACCACCGCAAGTACATGAAGATGGCCGAGGTGCCGTTGTCCGAGTTGGAGAACGACGAGACGGCCACGATGCTCAACATCGACGATGAGTTGCTGGCCGAGGCGAAGGCAGAAAAGGAGAAGCAGACGGCAGTGGAGGGTGAGACGACGGTTGTGACTCCGCACGGAGAGCTGTACGTGGCTCCTGGCGAGGACCCGGAAATGGTGGAAATTAGCGCGGAGGAAGAGCGTGAAATGACCACGTCGCCGCTGCCCGGCACCACTCTGGCCGTCCAGCATCTGCCAGTCATGGTGCGTAATGAGGTGTTCAACATCCTCGACACACCAGGCTTGATCACAGACACGAAGCGCCAAAAGCTGGTTGAAGTGCTTGCACTCGACGGCGCCGCCAAGTTGAAGAATGTGTTCCCGACCAAGCAGTTGCCGGTAATCCATCCATGCAGTCGATTGCTGGGCCCGCCAGTGTATTAACTTGTGTGCATTGTTATTCTGTAGGTGACCACCTATCGTGTCCGTCCGGGTCGCAGCTTGTTCCTTGGTGCGCTCGCGCGTTTCGACTATGAGACTCTCGGAAACGACAACGACAAGAACATGCTGCTACTGTCGTGGTATGGCGTGCTGCCTGGACACCTCACGAACACTGAGCGTAAGTGTGCTTCGAACTCGCCATCGTTCTTGATCAAACGTGTGACTAACGGGGAAACGCCATGACTGAATTTCCCTTCTTGCTTGTAGGCGCCGAGGACACATTCGTGAAGCACGCCGGTGGCATCCTCTCCCCGCCTCGCGGCCTTGATGCGATGAGCTTCACCGGACCGCTGACTCTCTCACAGAACGTGTACCTGAAGGACTACGTGCTCGACAGCGTGCTGACCAAGTCCAAGCACAAGAAGCCCAAGCGCACGACGGTCGTGGAGCTGGAGGTGCCAGGCTTCGGGTGGCTCTCCGTCACCGCCGTGGACCTCGACGGCACCGCAGCGTCACAAAAGACGCTGAACCAGGGCAAGATCTCGGTCCACACTTGCCGCGGGCTCTCGGTCGTGCCGCGCTCGCCACTTTTCCCATACGAGCTGTCCGACTCGAAGAGTACGACTTGGAAGCGCTAGGACGGCAGGTAGGTAGGCCAGGCAGACAGCCCATTGCATTGCAGAGCGGCCGTTGATCATCTTGATAGAAGCACAGCATAATTTCATATCACAATTGGTTTTCCTAGTTGCGGCTGGCCAACGAGATCACTTCATCTGGCTATAGGCAACGCCTACAGCCCTATCTCCCGAACATTACAGTCGTTGCGAATGATGGAGACTGTCTCCTTTACCAACGCGCCATCTCCACTTGCGGCTCAAGTACAGGCACAATCCATTCCGCCCGCTACGTCAGAGCTCCACCGTAATTCACCATGGCAGGCTGGAGCTTCCCGTCTCCTCCGAGTCTTCCAGTGTCCCTCGCCAAGTTCGCACGGCGCACCAGCAAGAGCACAGCAGCCAGTGCAAGCACCGATGGCGCTACTTCTCAGAAGACGTCGAGTTTCAAGCTGTACGCCAACTTGGTCAGCCAGCCCAGTCGCGCAGGTAAGAAGAGAGTCAACATTATCCATAGGATAGGATGCGTGCTTTACCGCCATCCAGCGCTCCTAACAGTCCTTGGTGCCGTGTATGCAGTCGCATGGGCACTGAAGGTTAAATGTGCCGACTACGAGTTCGTGAACGTGGACTTCGACGGCGACTTTATCAAGTCGGACGAGTTCAAGGCGTGGAATCCCAATGCACTCGTGCCGGTGATCCGCGACGGAGACTTCTCGCTCTTCGAAGGGTATGAACAAATGCTTGCATGGTATTGGAGACCATGGTCTAACTCGTGAACTGTTGTGCTGCTTCCAGCACTGCCATCTTGACGTACGCGTCCACGAAGTTCGGCTGGTCGGACTTATACCCGACAGACATGAAGACACGCGCCAAGGTGGACCAGTTCTTGAGTTGGCACCACACCAACACCAGGCTCTTCACACTGCAAATTGTGCGGCCAGCAGTAAACAAGGCGCGCGGCAAGGCATCGCCGTCGGACTTTGCGATCCTGGGCAAGACAGACGCCCTTATCGAAAAGGAGATGACGCTGCTGGAGACGTTCCTCGACAAGGACTACATCGCTCACACGGACGCACCGACGGTCGCTGACTACATCGCGTACTGCGAGATCGACCAGCTAGAGATGATGGGGTACGACTTTACCAAGTATCCCAAGGCGACAGCATGGATCGAGCGCATGAAGGTTCGTACCCGGTTTCTCTTTTCTTGCAGACTGGCATCGTGACTGACGATCTCCTGTTCTTGTTGTCATCGACAGCAAATCCCCTTCCACGACGAAGTGCGCGAAGAGCTGGACAAGTTCTTGACGGACGCGGGCGTCCGCGCCGACACCAAGAAGCCTTAAAAGCCCCAGGACAATAGCATTGACACGTAGTCGCACAGCAGGAGTCTTGCATATGAATGTACCTCCATCTAGAGAGCTCATATTCCAGCTGCACACATCTTGTCTTGAAGCTGCAGCACAATTATAGCCCTCTGCTCTCTCGCGAAGCGGAGTCCCCACCCACCCTCTAACGGCTTCCAGCGCACACTCTACCGGTGCAAGTCCTACCTTGTCCGGAGCCTTATGTAAGCAGACCTCGCAGCGTCATCTTGCCCTGCCCGCCGATCTGTGCGACAGCATAGGGTCTCTGATAGGCAAGCCCCGTCATCCGGTCAGAGACCAGGCTCAAAGCGATCCACAGATGGCGGCATGTGTGATCCGTGTAGGAGGGAGGATCTATTCACGTCGACAGCGGAAGCAAGCTCACTCTTCAATCCGCAGTCCAAGACTCAAGCAACCCCCTCCTCCTCCTTCACCATGACCCTCAAGCTGTACGCCAACCTCATCAGCCAGCCGTCGCGCGCCGTCGCCTGGGTGCTCAAGGTCAAGGGCGTGGACCACGAGCTCGTGCCCTGCAACCCGGGCAGCGACTTCTTCAAGTCGGACGAGTTCAAGGCCATCAACCCCAACCGCCTCGTGCCCGCCATCAAGGACGGCGACTTCGTGCTCACCGAGGGCATGGCCATCCTGCAGTACCTGGGCGACAAGTACGACTGGACCGGCCCCAAGGACCTGTACCCCAAGGACCTCAAGGTGCGCGCCAAGGTGAACGAGTTCCTGCACTGGCACCACACCAACACCCGCCTCTTCACGATCAACATCGTGCGCCCGGAGATCTCCAAGAAGCTCAACGCCGCCACGCCCAAGGACCTCGCGGCGCTCGAGGGTAAGGACGCGCTCATCGAGAAGGAGTTCTCGCTGCTCGAGACCTTCCTGGTCAACGACTACATCGCGCACACCGACTTCCCCACCATCGCCGACTACACGGCCTACACGGAGATCGACCAGCTCGAGCTCATGGGCTACGACTTCTCCAAGTACCCCAGGGTGTCTGCCTGGATTGCCCGCATGAAGACGCAGCCCTTCAACGAGGAGATCCACGTGCCGCTGGTGGGATTCATCAAGCAGTTCGGCCTGTAAAGCAGCAGCGATAGCGCTCGATAGGTAGTATGGAGTGTCAATAAAGCGTTCTTCCTCGTTAATCTCCGTCCTGCTGCGCGTACCTCGCTGCCCCATGTTATGCCTCTGCAGGGCAGAGTCTGCACTCAGAGGAAGGTGTTGACCCTGGATACTGAGTTGCAGATCCCAAGGTATCATCAGTGACGTCAGCAACAGGCATCGATGGGATACGGTGACAAGTTCTCATCGCTTGTTGCACTGGGGCTGGTAGGATAGTTTCCAAATTGATAAACTCACTAACTAAAGGTGGCAATCGACTGCAGAGTGGTGCAGCTCACCTTGCTTCTCTGCAATCAGCCGAGATTCACCTCGTGTATGCACGGACAAAATTGGGTGTGTTGCGGATTCACCGCTCCTTCTTGGATTCGCTGGTGCTACGGTTTGCCAAGCAGCTTTGGAACCCGCGCTCGAGTTCCTCACGGTCGAAGCCCTGTCCGATAAGTACAAGACGCGAGACCCGCGGCTCGCCGGCCTCCCAGGGCGACCCAGGGGCGATGGTGTAAGTGTCAAGCACCCCCTGCACGACACAGCGGCGATCTTCAGCGTCCCCTGTCACGGACAACACTCCCTTCACTCGCAGGACGTCAGCTCCCTTGACGTATTTCGTAACCACCTCGGACAGCCACTCGCCGAAAGCCGCAACGTCGACATCGCGCTTGACCTCAAAGTGGACCGTACTGATTCCGCCAGTATGCTGTCCTCGCGCCCAAACATCCTTGTTGCCTCCATTAGCACCATTGTTCTGCGCATTGAAACGCACTGCGTCGAACGTCTTCACGTTCAAGATCCTGTCCAAGTCCACGTTGGCGTTCACGCAGCTGCAGAGCTTTGCTTCTTCGTTCATCCCGGCCAGCGTCTTCTCCAGCCTCTTGCACTCCTCCTTCGTCGCCACATCCACCTTGTTCATCATCAAAATGTCCGCATACAGCGCTTGTCGCTGCAGCTCAATGGGGAATTCATACACATCCTTCTCCTGCTTCCAGTACCTCTGCGTGGCCTTGGCGTCCACCATCGTAACAATGGCGTCCAGGCGGAATCTCGACGCTCTTAGTCTCAAGAACGTCTCAATGATCGGACCCGGGTCTGCGAGCCCCGTCGTCTCCACCACCAGGTAGTCGAAGCTCTGCTCCTGCACCAGCTGCAACAAGTAGTCCAGGATGCGTTCCAGCTCGTCTCCGCCTCTGCCTTTGCCTCCTCGAGCCGCGCAGCACATGCAGCCGTTCTGCAGCACGTAGATGCCGTCGCCCTCCTCCTTGCCACCAGCCTGTAGCAGCGTGTGGTCGATGCTGACGGCTCCCAGCTCGTTCTCCAGCACCATGATCTTGTACGGCAGCTTGTCCTCGGTCAGCAGGATTCTGTTGAGCAGTGTGGTCTTCCCGGCGCCTAAGAAGCCCGTTAAAATGGTCACCGGGACCGGAGGAGCGCGCGTCTCCGTGGATTTAGCGGCCAATTGCTCCGTTTTGCGCTGGATGCGGCGTTCGCGACGCATTTGCATGTACCAGGCCACCGCGTTGGCTAGCGCGACGGAGAAGAGCAAGAGCGCGGCAACCACGACGCCCAGAAGAGTCCAGAAACCGCGAGGAGAGAGAGAAGGCGGGTCAGCAACAGGCGAGTGGTACAGAGCCTCCTCGTAGCCCGCAGGGGCTCCGGCAGAAGCCGTCGCGGCCATGGAGAGAGCGAGCAGCATGGGACGAGTATCCTGAGTGCGGATGATGCCACTCATTATTGGCCGGAAAGGCCTGCGAGAGATGATATTGAAGGAGTGATTGTGCCTTAGTGAAAGGCAGATAAGAAGCCCTTGAAATCGGATGCAGAACCGGACAACGACAACCGCACTAAGACAAGCGCGATGCCGGGCGTCTTGCTTCCTCTACGACTCCGACACCCAGAGCCGCTGTGACGGGCGTGACATCAGACTGTAAGTGTACAGAGCTCTGAGCCCGGCATGACGCCTCGAGGTAGCGGCTTACCTCCGGTCCGTGTTAACCGTTGCGGGGGGCTGCTCCCGTCCGCACGATCCAAGATCGTTCAACCACCAGGGGACGCTCTGCGCCCTTTGGAGGAAGATTTGGGATTTTGCCTGGTTAATGAAGGTGCCTCCCAGTCCACAGTTAGCCGAGTTCGAGGTGAATCAATTGGAGGCTGATGAAGTTAAGCTGGGTCGGCGTCCTCGCGGCGGCTGGGCTCGCCTTGGCTGCGCCAACGACGATAACTATCTACTATGACGACAGTGCCTGTGCTGGAACAGCTATATCAGCGACATTGAGCTCCGAGCTGACGTGTACACCGCAGGTGGACCACTACAACCCAATCTGCCTGCAGGATGGAGGAGCGTGCTCGGTGTCCGACTGCGTCACGTACCACTGGGCTGCCGATGGGGACGACCTCGGAATCATCAGACGTGAATCCTTACGCTGTCTATGTGGGGCCGAACGGCGACTGTACTGAGAGCATCTGCGCAGACGATAACGAAGGGGGATACGTTTCGATACAGTGCTCCGAGAACTACCTGCAGGTCATGCGAAATTTCTTGAAACCTCCCAGTACATCATTTTGGAATTGTACTCCGGTGATAGATGTTCCAATCTCGAGTACGCCGTCGGGTTTATCGCCACGGATTCCTGCACTGGAGGGTACGAAACCAGTAATTGGTACTTCACGAGCACTTTGAGCTCGGACGGGTCAGCTTTGATCAAATCTTTCGTCGAGATCGCTTCAAACGGGTCTCTTTGGGGGGATCAGCAATGCTCATCAGCTAATTTGACTTCATATAGCGCGGGCAAGGACGACATCGAGGCTCACTCGTGCTTGACCGTCAATTCTAAAAACCAAATCCAGTAGGAGGAAACGGACCAAGGATCTGACTACGCGAATTCACTCGACGCACTCGCTGATAATCACTCCGATCTCTGGGACGACGAAGTCATCATCGCCAAGAGAATCCCACGCAACCAAATCAAAACCAAGGAGCTCGTCAGTCGAGGTGCCTTCGGCGATGTTTACGTCGGGAAGCTCTACCACAAGAAAGTCGTCGTGAAAATGCTGCTGCCTGGTACTCGCACCAGTCTCCAACACGTGAACGACTTCCTCGCCAAAGCCAAAATATCCGCTACACTCGACCATCCCCACATTGTCAAGTTTCTGGGAGTCACGTGGGACTCGCTCTCCAACCTCTGCATTGTGTCCGAGTTCATGGACGGCGGTGACTTACGCAGTCTTATATACAAGCACGAGATGTCCGGCCATCCAGTCGAATTCAACAAGCAGAAAGCCACTATCGCACTGCAAGTGTGCTATGCGCTCACTTATCTGCACTCGCTCGCACCTCCAATTATCCATCGGGACGTAAAGCCGCGCAACATCCTGCTCAGTCGGTCCATGAACGCCATGTTGACCAACTTCGGGGTTTCTCGCAGCGCCACGACGAAACCATGACTGCAGGCATTGGAATGTCACTGTGGATGGCACCGGAAGTTATGCTCGGCGAGCCAAGGTGGGCATTTTCTCGTTTGGCGTGATTTTGTCCGAGTTGGACATGCACACAGTCCCGTACGCGATACTCAGGAGAACGAGCGTGGAGGGACATACACTTCCAGCCGCAACGCTGCTCCAGGGAATAACGATGGGCTCAATCCGTGTGGACTTTTCGGAGGAGAACTCGTTCTCGATCACATGCGTGTCGGTAGACCCGAGCCAACGGCCAACTGCTGCCGAGGCGCTGTACAAGCTCCAAGTTGTTTTAGTCCAAGGCCTCGCATAAATTCTTCTAATGTGAGTCTGGACTTGAGAGGTATTACTGCTACTGCGATGATCTCGTGTTGCTGCCATGCACGGCACAAAGTTTGGTCGAGTTCAAAGGGTAAAATCGGCTTCACAAATGCATCGACATCGAGACGAAAATTGTTTCCAGCTCGACGGCGGAAAAATCTTATGAGCGGTCGTGGTGAAACCACTCGAATGGGATCTTCGGAAAGAAAATCACGAGTCGGCTCCTCGTGCTAGTGGAGGGCAGCAATATTGCGTCATTTGCAAAGTCTCCAGGTGCCGCATACTTCCACGTTTCGTCTTCACTTCGAGACAGCGCGATTCAGTGTCCGCGCAGAATGGTTGCCCTGTTTGCCGTTATAGCGGAGGTATGGCTCGCTGCATCGCTCGTTGCAGGCCTGAAGACCTCCGTCGTCGAGTATACCAACAGTTCCTGCTCCCCGCCTGCCGTGTTCGTGTCATTTACTAGCGCGCTTACATGCACCCCGCAAATGTACCACAACGACCCAGTTTGCGTGAAGGGCGTCGCTGGAAATTCTGTCTCGGACTGCACCAACTACAACCGTGGGGGCTGGGACGACTACAACATCGCCTCCAACGCATTCAACGGGTACTCGTACCTGGGAGTGGAGACATACATCCCAGGACGATGCGGCGTGTTTGACTCGATCGCAAGCGCCAAGCTGTATCGACTGGACGAAAACTGCTACCCGAACGCTGCGGGCACGGAGAGCCACAGGCTTACACTGGGGCATTCAGCAACAATCACAACGTATAGTGATGCAACTTGCTCGAATGTGGCGATGACGACTACGGTTCGTCAAGCAGCCATGGGTGCGAGTCGAGTTGGTTTCTGCATCGACGAGGTGGCAGCTTTCTTTGGAGGGACTAAGCCTGACTTCGCTGTTGTCGCCATTTATGACGCCTACATGTGCATGGGGCCCCCGACGAGCCTCAAGTTCTCGCAGGATTTTACGTGTCAGGCCCCCGCAAACGCGCCATGCCAGGCTACTGGAAGTTCTCGCTTTTCCGTGTCAACTTGTACCAGCGATTTCTTAGGCTATGCAGCAGAAACGTTTGGAGCAAATGCCCCGTACGTGGTCGTGCAGGATTTTCCCAATCCGTGGTGCAACGACGTCGAGTTTGTGACGGTTTACTCAGCTGATGGCTCATGCTACACCAACCCAGACGACGCTACCAGCTTCCGTGCCAGAATCAACGCTGCCGATGGCACGGCAACCATCACGACGTTTACGGATCGAGCTTGCAACTATGTGGCAAGCGATGTCTCTCTCGACACTCAGACACTGTCGACGTCGCCGTGCATGCGTCGAGATTGTGAGTTTTGGTACGGTTGTGCTCAACGGTTTGCAGTCGGGGGGTTGGGCGGCCCGCCATCGATGGGGAGAAGACCACGGTCGTCGAGTACGCCGACAGCTCCTGTTCTGGACCCGCACTCTCGGTAACGTTTACCAGTGCGCTCACGTGTGCCCCACAAACAAACCACTACAACCCAACTTGTGTACAAGGCGCTGCTGGGTACTCCGTCTCGGATTGCAGCAACTACAACCGAGGAGGCTGGGACGATCTCAGCACCGCTTTCAACGCATTCGATGGGTACTCGTACTTGGGGGTGGAGACATACGTGCCGGGAAGATGCGGAGTGTTTGATTCCATTGCGAGTGCCAAGCTGTATCGACTCGACGAGAACTGCTATCCGAATGCGGCTGGAACAGCAAGTCACAGGCTCACGCTAGGTCATTCGGCAACGATCACAACGTATACCGACGCGACTTGCTCCAATGTGGCGACGACGACTACCGTTCGACAAGCAGCCATGGGTGCGAGTCGAGTTGGTTTCTGTGTCGATGAGGTGTCGGCGTTCTTCGGTGGCACTCAACCCAATCTGACTGCTGTTGCTGTTTACGACGATAATACGTGCTCGGGCTCGCCGTCTCAGCTCAAGTTCTCGCAGGATTTCGCGTGCCAGAGCTCTGCTGATGCGCCTTGTCAAAGCGCTGGGGGTTCTCACTTTTCCGTTTCTGGTTGTGCGAGTGACTTCTTTGGATATGCAGCGACAGCGTTCGGCGCGGATACTCCATACTTGGTCGTGGAAGATTTCGCCAATCCGTGGTGCAACGATGTCGAGTTTGTGACGATCTACACTGCGAATGGAGTTTGCCACACGAACGCGGACGATCAGACAAGCTTCCGTGCCACCATCAACACGGCCGACAGCACAGCAAGCATCACGACATTTTCAGATCCAGCATGCGACGATGTGGCAAGCGACACGAGTCTAGACAGCCAAACACTGTCGACGTCTCCGTGTTTGCGTCGTGATTGCGAGTTTTGGTATGGCTGTGGTCAACGGTTCGCGGTGGGAGGGTTGGGAGGGCCACCGTCAATGGGGAAGAAGACCGCGGTCGTCGAGTACGTCAACAGTTCCTGTTCATCGCCCGCGATGTCTGTGTCGTTTACCAGCGCGCTCACTTGTGCGCCGCAAACGGACCACTACAGCCCGACTTGTGTGAAAGGTGCAGCTGCATACTCTGTGTCAGACTGCGTCAACTATAACCGTGGGGGCTGGGACGACCTGGGTATCGCAAGAGATGCATTCAACGGGTACTCCTATTTGGGAGTGGAGACGTACGTCCCAAGACGATGCGGCGTGTTTGATTCGGTCGCGAGCGTCAAACTGTATCGTCTAGACGAGTATTGCTATCCAAATGCAGCGGGGACCGAAAGCTACAGGCTCACACTGGGTCATTCCGCCACGATCACAACGTATAGCGACGGAAACTGCAGAAATGTTGCGACTACGACGACAGTTCGCCAGTCTGCCATGGGTGCGAGTCGAGTCGGCTTTTGTGTGGACGAGGTGACGGCTTTCTTTGGAGGGACTCGGCCAAACTTCACCGCTGTTGACATTTATGACGACAGCACGTGCTCAAGCGCTCCGACTCAATTGAAATTATCGCAGGATTTTGTGTGTCGAAGCCCTGCAAACGCCGCATGCCAAAGCGAGGGAAATTCGCATTTCTACGTTGCTGATTGTGCGAGCGATTTTCTCGGATACGCCACAACAGCGTTTGGTTATGACACTCCGTACCTGGTTGTGGAAGATTTCCCTAATCCGTGGTGCAACGACGTCGAGTTCGTGACGATCTACACAGCCGATGGCTCGTGTCACTCGAACTCAGATGACCAGACCAGCTTTCGGGTTGCCATCAACACCGCTGACGGTACGGCGAGCTACACAACGTATTCGGATCCAGCATACAACTTCGTCGCGAGCGATACGTATTTGGACAGTCAGACGTTGTCATCGTCGCCGTGTCTAGGTCGAGGAGGCTGTGAATACTGGTATGGCTGTGGTCGACGCTATGCGGTGGGAGGCTTGGGTGGCCCGCCAGCATTGGGGAAGAAGACTGCGTTGGTGCTCTACGAGGACAATTGGTGTGCTGTGACTCCAGTTGTATTGACGATTTCAAGCACGTTCCAGTGTACATCGCCAGCAGCTCCTGTGTGTGACACGCTGTTCAATGGACCCAGCACAGTCTACCAAGCGCGGGAGTGTATCAACTCGACCGACTCGTACGTCGCCACAAAGTTCCAGGCCACACCCTACTTGATTGCGGAGAACTACGCCAATGGCACCAACTGCCAAGTGCAGACAAACATCACGATGTACGCCGCCGACGGCAAGTGCCACCTCAGCATCAGTGACGGCACCTACTTCACGATCACGCAGCGAACCGACGGAGCTGTCATCGTATCCAACTACCCGACGTCGCTCTGCAAGGATACGGACGCAGTCACTTACGTCCTCGACTATTGGAACGTCAACACCGGAACGTGCATGGGCGATCGAATCTTCCGTACCAGCAAAATGCCCCTAGCAGCGTACGTCTCGACTCCAGCCACGACGACGCCATCCACGTGGACCCCAACGCCGACCCCCGCGCCGATCACATAGGTCCCAATCGACATCGAGGCGCGACTCAACATCATGTTCCCCGCTTGGCTCTGGGACCCACTGCCGCCGCAGGTCTTCGTCAACGACGGACGCCCGCACCACCGCTCCCCAAGCCACTACCGTCGTCCGTAGCTAACTTCTGCGTGCATTTTCCTTCGTTACTCTGCGTTCCATCTGTTATTCTCATCGAAGAAATAATGTCCACCTCCAAGTGAAGACCACAGAAAATCCATGGACCAAAAAGGGAAGTTTATGAGTGATTCCATGAATATAAACGCTAAGTCTAAACGATCCCCAATTTAATGTGGTCCACATTTATCCGATTGTTAGCTTGGGACAGTCAGTCTCGAAGATACCAAACACAGCGATGAAGACCCCTCCTGCCGCCGCCGACTCGTGCCTGTACGGGTCTGTGGTGGGCATGGACAAGCTCTTGGCGCTGGATCTGCACGACAACCAAGTGGGCGACGGCTCCCCCAATTCCCCTCCGTCCGAGTGCGACGAGTGCGAGCAGAGGCCAGCGCAAGTGACCTGCGACGACTGCGGCCTCGTGTACTGCACCAAGTGCGACGGCCACAGGCACCGCAAGGGGAAACTGCAATTGCACCACCGCGTGCAGATCACGAGGAAGAGAGTCGAAGCTCCAGAACTTGAAAAAGTCGAGGAAGAGGCGGAAAACTGCGTTGCAAACTGGAAAATCTGCGACGTGTGCGAGTGGCTGGAAGCTCACGACTTGGAGCTGTTCGTGGAGGAAGCGCAGCGTCACAAACTCACTGGAGCAACTTTACTGTCGTCTAAGGAGCTGGATAAGTTTCTGGATGCTGCGACGGGGGTGAGTCGCGGCCATAAGAAGAAGCTGCAGAGGGAAGTGCACAAGCTCCAGAGCTCGTCGGCTCCTGAGGAAAAAATGACCCCAGTGCCTGCACCTTCGCCACCTATTCTGCGTACCAGCAACTCTATGCGGCGTGTTGGACTGGACTTGCGTGTGGATGTTGAGCCCTTGGTGGCGAAGCCGCCACCGCGGCGCGCGACGAATTTGCACTCGTTGGGATTGGGGCCGCTGAAGATTGACGTGGGGGACAGCGACCGTGGAGCGATCTCAGCTCCGAAGAGGAGCGCAGGTGCGAGACAAAATTCAGGTGTACTGGGGCTGGATATCGCACAGGTTAAGAAGGAGGAGAAGACCGTGGCGGCGTCTTTTGATTTCTCCGCGACGGGGAGATTGCAGACGCAAGGCTTTGAGATCGATGTAAGTGGTTGAAGAAGGCGTATGTGTTTGGGCTGATGCTGCGGAATAAACTAACTTGTTTGTTGAGCTGTAGACGCGCGGCATCGCTAACGCGCCGTTTGCAAAGTCTCAACAACAACGTGAAGCTGACGCGAAGAAATCCGAATCGCCTGCTGAGGCGATCAGTACGAAGGACTACCTGTTGATACTGGAGGAGTTGGGTCATGGAGCGGGTGGGAAGGTCTACAAGGCGCTGTACATGCCGACATTCAGACTTGTGGCGGTCAAAGTCATCCGAGTTTACGACCAGAAGAAGCGCCACCAAATGGTGCGCGAGCTCAAGTCACTGTACGTGAACTTCGTGCCTCTTGCGACCGCCACCTTTGGCTCCACTTCGGACTCAACAACCCAAGCTGCGTGTGAAGAGCTCGTCGTCTTCTATGACGCATACACGAACCCAGAAGTGGGGTCCGTGTCTATCGTGCTCGAGTACATGGATGGCGGATCACTGGAAGATTACGTGCAGTCTGCTACCCGGAGTTGCGAGGTGAACGCTGGTTGTCTGTCAGAGAAGGAGATCGCAAACGTCGCGGCCTGTGCACTCAAAGGCCTGGCCTTCCTGCACGAACACCACCAGCTGCACCGAGACATCAAACTCAGCAACATGCTCATCAACTATCAAGGACAAGTCAAGGTACGCTGTCATTTTACCCTTGATGAGCTGCTTGAGGAGTTATCTTTACCAACATATTTTTTTTTCCTTGTAGATCTCTGACTTTGGCATTTCGCGAGATCTCGAAAGCACTTTGGCAAAGGCAACGACGTTCACGGGCACGCTTTTGTGAGTGTTCTAGAATCATTTGTATTATTATTTACGTGCTCTGGTCTAACAATCCGATGTTGTCAGGTATATGGCTCCAGAGAGAATCAGCGGAGGCATGTACTCGTACCCGTCCGATATCTGGTCGTTCGGTCTCGCTGTAATGGCCTGTGCCATCGGAAAACTACCAGTGCCGACGAAGGACGGCTACTGGGGCGTTGTGCATGCAGTTCAAGAGCAGCCATCTCCGCGTCTGAAGGACTATGGAGACCATTTTCCCCCGGAACTCTGCGACTTCCTGGACCAGTGTCTTCAGAAAAACCCGATGTATCGGCCTCCAGCCGCTCGACTGCTCGAGCACCCATTCATCAAGAAGAACTACTCGCCACGGGAGCAGGCGAACGTTCGGTTGAGCCGTGATCGGCAGCCGCTTTCAGCCAAGGCACTCGATCGCAGCCGTCAAGAAATGCGAGAGATTGCAGACAAGGCGCAGAGCTGGTGTCGCGACCACCCTGAGGCGTTACGAAGACTTTCATCTATCAGCGAATCGAGTGGAGCGCAAAATATCTCGAGCCAAAGTAAAGTTGAAGCGCTAGCGAAGCAGTTGCGGCTGCCAGTCGATGAAGTGGCCTCGAACTTCGCGTTCCTCGAGGAATATTGCACCTAAGTGTAGCGATTTACTACTACACGAAGTAGTATACGGTACTGGTGATGTTGTACATGTAGTGTGCATTCTTCCGCGATGCACGGACTCTTGTTAACCGTTCGATGCGTTGCGACTCTGCAGTGGCGCGTTAACAAAGGTGGCGAGCTTCAAGACGTCGAGAGACGCAGGACCTTAGACGACGAATCGCCTAGATATCAACGCGGAGATGAAAATTGTTTCCAGGTACGTGGTGGAAAAATCTTCGGAGCGGTCGTGTGTTGAAACCACTCGAACGGGATCAACGTGTGGACTGGAGGGGCAGCCATTTTCAAGTCCGAGTCCTCCAGGTCAAGTCCTCCGCCCTCCGAGTTTAGCGACCACTTCGAAGCAGCACTGCTGCCCCCTCGCATGACGCTAGTCCTCCTCTTCGTGATAGCGGAGGTTGTGTCACTTATAACGGCGCTGAAAACCTCTGTCGTCGAGTATGCCAACAGTTCGTGCGCTCCGCCTGCACTAACCGTGTCGTTCACTAGCGCACTAACGTGCACGCCTCAAGCGGACCACTACAGCCCCAGCTGTGTAAGCGGTGCGGGTGCCTACTCTGTCTCGGACTGCACCAACTACAACCAAGGAGGCGGTGACGACTTCAATATCGTCAACGACGCGTTCGACGGGTATCCGTACCTGGGAGTAGAGAAGTATGTTGCGGGGCGTTGCGGACGCTACGATTCCGTCACGAGTGCTACGCTGTATCGACTGGACGAGAATTGCTACCCGAATGCGGCGAGCACCGAGAGCCACAGACTCTCGCTGGGCCACTCGGCGGTGATCACGACGTTTAGCGACACGACGTGCACGAACGTGAAATCTACGACCACAGTTCAACAAGCAGCCATGGGTTTGGGGCTATACGGGTTGTGCCTCGACGAGGTGACGGGGTTTTACGGTGGACCTCGGCCCAACCTGACCGCTATCGCTATATACGAGGATGACAAGTGCTCAAGGACCCCAACGCAGCTCCGGTTCTCGCAAGACTTTGTGTGTTTCGGTACAACGGACGCCCCGTGCCAAAGCTACGATAACTCGCGCTTTTCGACTGCCGGATGCACCAGCGACTTTTTGGGTTATTCAGCGAGTGTGTTTGGTTCCGACAGTCCATACGTGGCTGTGGAGGATTTCGCCAATCCGTGGTGCAGTAACGTCGAAAATGTGACGGTGTACGCAGCGGATGGTGCGTGCCACACCAGCGCAGATGGATCAACCACTTTCCGAGCTACCGTTAGCATCGCCGACAGCACGGCGACCGTCACGACGTATCTTAATCCCAATTGTAACCTCGTGGCGAGCGATACGAGCGTGGACGTTGTCTTCGTCCCCGTGTCTGTATACTCCGTGTGATATTTGGTTTGGTTGTGGCCGGCGATACCGTGTTGGCGGGTTGGGCGGTCCGCCGTCGATGGGCAAGAAGACTGCAGTTGTCCAGTACGGCGACAGTTCATGCACCCCTCCGGCGTCATTCGTGTCATTTACTAGTGCGCTTACCTGCACCCCACAAGAAGATCATTCAACCCCACTTGTGTCAACAACGGAACCGGCTACACCGTGTCTGACTGTACGGATTACAACCAAGGGGGCTGGGACGACTTCAGTATCGCCACCAACGCGTTCGAAGGATATTCATATTTGGGGGTGGGGAGGTATGTCGCGGGGCGATGCGGTCGCTACGATTCCGTCACGAGCGCTACGCTGTATCGGCTGGACGAGAATTGCTACTCGGATCCGACAGGCAGCCACAGGATCACTCTGGGTCACTCGGCAGTCATCACAACGTATAGCGATGGAACTTGCACCAACGTGAAATCATCCACCACGGTCCGACAGGCAGCCATGGGTTTGGGCCCATACGGAGTGTGTATCGACGAAATAACGGGTTTCTATGGTGGATCTCGGCCCAACCTCACCGCCGTCGCCATCTATGGGGACGACATGTGCTCAGGTACGCCGACGCAACTCCAGTTATCACAAGACTTTGTACAGCAGACGCACCCTGCCAAAGTTTCGACAACTCTCGCTTTTCGACTGCCGGCTGCACCAACGACTTTTTGGGGTATTCGGCGACCAAGTTCGGCGCTGACACTCCGTACGTGATCGTGGAGGATTTTCCGAGTCCTTGGTGCAGCAGCGTTGAAACCGTGACGGTGCATTTGGCGGATGGCGCGTGCCACACCAACGCAGATGGAGCGACGAGTTTCCGCGCTGCAATCAACGTGGCCGACAGCACGGCGACTCTCACCATGTATTCGGATACGACGTGCGAGTCTGTGGCAAGCGATACGAGCTTGGACGGTCAGACGTTGTCTTCGTCGCCGTCTGTATGTTCCGTGTGATATTTGGTTTGGATGTGGCCGGCGATACGCGGTGGGCGGGCTGGGCGGGTGGCCCTCCCTGGACAAGAAGAGTGTTGTCGTGGATTACGAAGACAACCGATGTCTGCTCACTCCTGTAAAAATGACCATCTCCAGCACTTCCCTTTGTACGCCAAGACCAGGATACACTTGCGAGACACTGTTTGCTGAATCGAGTTCAGTCTACTAAGCGCGTGAGTGTATCAACTCGACCGACTCGTACGTCGCCACAAAGTTCCAGGCCACACCCTACTTGCTCGTGGAGTACTATGCCAATGGCACCAACTGTCAAGCTCAGACGAACGTCACGATGTACGCAGCCGATGGCAAGTGCCACCTCAGCATCAGCGACGGCACCTACTTCACGATCACGCAGCGAAGCGACGGCGCTGTCATCACATCCAACTACCCGACGCCGCTCTGCAAGGATACGGACGCAGCCACGTACGTCCTCGACTATTGGAACGTCAACACCGGAACGTGCATGGGCGATCGAATCTTCCGAACCAGCCAGACGCCCCTCGCAACGAACATATCGACTCCAGCTACGACGACACCGTCAGCCTCATCGCCACCGTCAACATGGACCCCAACGCCGACCCCCGCGCCGATCACAGAGGTCCCAATTGAGGACGACATCGAAGCAAGACTGAGCATCATGTTTCCCGCTTGGCTTTGGGACCCACTACCCCCGCAGGTCTTCGTCAACGACGGACGCGCGCACCACCACTCACCGTCGTCCATAGTTCCGTTTTGCTTTCTTTCGTCTGCATCCAGATGTGGCCTCCTTGAAAAATAATGTCCACTCAGTAAATAAAAAGGTATAAACCCCAAAAATGCGATTTTTAGAATTTAGATCTGAAATACTTACAGAACTCATTACAAAATCTAAATCAAGTTTTAGACTGTATGATCAACTTTAGAATCCGCCTTTATCAAAGATACTTCCTCCAAGTGCCAATGCCGCGCCTAAGGCGCTTCCTGGCGACGCTCTTGCTGCTGTCCACCGCGGTCTTATCCTTCCTCTCTGTGTCTCCACAAGCTTCTGAAGAACCGTGCCAACCGTCCGATGTGTTGTGGCTCTGGAGTGGCGCGCTGACGTCTCGCTCCATCACGTTCAAGTTTGGGTTACGCGAGGGTTACACTTGCGCCGACGCGGACTTCGTGCTGTACGCGTTCCCGGAGCTGCTGCAAGGCGAGAAGCCTCATTCTGCCATCGCCTCGTGCTCTGGAGTCGACGGGGGAGAAGCCGGCGACGGGGAGGAGAGGAGCCCCTCGTCCTACGATATTCCTAATGTGAAGGAGTGTAACCTGGAGGAACTCCCACATAGTGATAGAAGCTATCGCTATGAATTGACGTTGATCAATTCGGGAGAAATCGTGAGGAGCGGGGGCTTCAAGACGCCAAAAGAAGAGGGACAGCCGTTCAACTATCGAGTGGCATTCGCTTCATGTGCTGATGAACAGTCCGATCCAAAGGTATATATGAGGAGGCTTGCTGAGGGTATCCTTTTGTATTATGCCTATTGAGAGGTAATCATTTTTCTTGTGTTGTTTCTAGGTGTTTGAAGAGATCAAGAAGGAGGAAGCGTTGTTCTTCATGCATACGGGAGATCTACACTACCACAACCTGGTGGTGAACAACGTGGCGGCGTTCAGAGATGGCTACGACTCGATATTTGCGTCACCAGCGGGACAAGCGATGCTGGCGATGGACGTGCCGTTCGCCTACATGTGGGACGACCATGACTTCGGTCCGGACAACAGTGACTCGACTGCTCCCGGACGGAACGCGTCGGTGCAAGCTTATCATGAGTTTGTGCCGCATTACCCACTTGTTGGAGGACGTTCACGAACTAACACAGTGCACCAAGCGTTCACGATCGGTCGAGTGCGCTACATCCTGACGGATCTCAGGTCCGCGAGAACTCCGAACACAGCCTTCGCTGCTCCGACCAAGACGGTTCTCGGAAAGAAGCAGAAAGCGTGGTTCAAGTCTGAACTCGTTCGTGCGACCAAGGACCCCAACATTCGACTGATTATTTGGGTCAACACGATGCCGTGGCTGGACGACGAGCGCAAGTGGGGGCACTTCGTGCACGAGCAGCAGGAGCTCGTGAACTTTATCAAGGGCCATGGCCTCAACAAGTGGGTGCCAATTGTGATCGTCAGTGGCGACGCGCACATGCTGGCAGTGGATGACGGGACCCACAGCCCCGGTAACCTTACGCTACTTCACGCTGCTGCACTGGGACGACAGGGGTCGATCAAGGGAGGACCTTACAGCCACGGCGCTTTCCCTGGCCCAGGCCAGTACGGCGTGATGGATATCACGGACGAAGGAGGCAAGGACGGGCGTATCTGCATCTACTACCGAGGAATGAACATCTACAAGGGCATGCTGGTCGAGTTCGACACTTGCCACCCGGAGCGCACCCCTCCTGTCACGCCCTACTATCCTCCGCCGATCCCTGTGCGCATAATGATGCGTGTTCTGAAGAAGGCGAAGAAATATACGAAGACTGCGGCGTTCGTGGTGGTTACTGTGGTCGCTCTTCTCGTCATTAGAAGCCGACGCCAGCATGCTGTTCACACCAAGAAACACAGCTAAACAGAAAGTCGATCGAGCTCCAAGCTTCGACGGCATGAAGGTTTGCATGAATTACATAAGTTTTGCTTTTTTGGCTAAATATCAATAAGGAGGTCTCCGTCGGTTAGTTTATCTTCACACTGGATCGGAAAGTTAACAGACAGCTGCAACATCAGGAAGGAAATGCGCGACTCCGAGGATGTGCATCAACGGTTCGAATCCAATCGCAAACTCCACGTATTGCAAACGGCAGCTTGGAGCGAAGCAGTAGCAGATCATGGCGTCGAACGGGAGATGCACATGTCGCTCCAGCGGCGGGGCCGTTCCAGCAGCATGTGTCGTGGGTGTATCACGCTCGTTCGCTTCATCTTCATCGTCCGAGACTGATGACGACGACGCGATGCTCAGTTGTCGTAGACGTCGTTCAGCAGCCGACGCACTGTTAGGAGAAGGCAATAGTGACAAGCACGTCGCTTTGGAAGCCACCACGTGCGTCTTCTTGGAAATTCGGTTCGTAGCAGTCAAGTGGAAGGCGAAAATCTCGCGCTGTCCGTCGTACGGGATCTCCAGCGGTTCACTATCCTCAGCTCCACGAGCTCCACCCGTCGCAGGCGTAGCCGCCGCTGCTGCCGCTCCTGCCACTTCAGCCGACGCGTTCTCCTGCTCTTGATTCCCACTCGCCTCTCCATTCTGCGGGGACGCCAACTTCTCCGGCAACTTTCCATACGAAAGAAAAACTCGCAGCGCGTACGACGTCGTGTTCAGGAACACTCCTTCTCTCTGCACTGGCAGCACATACCTCGTCTCCCCCACTTGCAGCATGGCGTCGAACGTCCAGTCCAACGGACGGTACTGCAGCGGGTTGAACAGGTACAGCAAGTACGTGTTGCTGACCAGGGCGTTCACACACAGCTCGTCCTCCTGCAGTCTGTATCTCAGCGTATTGTCGTCGATACTGATGGTCATCCCTGACAGCTCGTGCAGCTTCAACGACGCGTAGGTCGCGATCTCCTCCACATTGTCGCCATCTCTCTGGATCCGGTCGGGGGTCGGCTGGATCGTGGCTGGCGGCGCCAGCGGACGGTAAATGAGCCCGTCAATGGACGCCCAGACCTGCATCATCATCAGCGACGACTGCAGGAACTCTGCGTCTTCTTGGTCTAGGAACTTGTGCGTAACCCTCAATAAGGAGTTCGTGTCGAGCAGTACCGGGGCCGGGAAGATCTGGAACAGCTCGCTCTCGAAGTTGAGCGAGCCCCTGAGCGCTGCAACTGAAGCCATGAGACTGATATGCTCGTTCAGAAGTCCCCGGGCCTCGTCCACGGACACCATTCCTATCAGCGTCGAGATCTCCTGGATGGACCTGTTTATTCTTAACGAGAGGTCGAACATCCGCTTGCAGCGGTTGTACACGACGGCTCTCTCCCGCGAGCACATGAGGGGGGTGCCCCTCTCAATTGGAAAGAAGCGGGTCTCCCCCCGGTTATTCATAAGGTACACCCTCGCCGTCACCTTGTCGACCGCCTTGCGCCGGAACTGCGACCGCAACATGAAGAGCCGCCGCCATTGGCCCGTGGCGAAGCGCAACTCGCCGAAGCGCGCGAGTGTCCGCAGCCGCCACTCGGGCTCGCAGCTGGACGCCACGTCGCGCGACACGAGTGCCAGGCTGCGCAGCTCCGGCAACGTGCAGAAGCCGAGAACGAAGGGCAGTGGCCCCAGCACGGAAGTGTCGGCGGAGTACTCCATTTAGGAATGAGGACCCTCGACGACGAAACGAATGTGGGGGATAGTGACAGGCCACTCAAGTGGAATATGTGACGTGTGAGCGTGTTCTGTACCGAATTCGCAGTTCGAAGAACTGTCGATTGGGGACCCGTGCGGATGACATCAAACAACATTCACAACATCATACAGCACTCAATAGAATCCGGTCTGAATTGCACTTACAGCTTTTGATAGATGCCTATTCGCCTCGGAGCTTTTCCTTCTAGATTGATGCCAGAGGAGTGGAGCTCCAGCACAAACATTTTATTGTTCGAAAGAATGCAATTCTTGCTATTGCACAGATAACGTTATGTACATGTACGTTGTTCGTCGTAGTAATGGCGTCTGTGACAATTAGAAGCCTCGATGCTGACCTTGAGCACAACTGGTGTCATTACCACATCACTGCATCGTATTAAATTGCATGCGGCTCCACAGCACTCAACGTAGTACTCACTCATTTCATTAGTGTTAAAGCTATCGATTCAATCTGTTCAGTCCTGGGTCATAACTTTTACCCTCCTCTTTCAGACACATATTTTCTTCTGCATGCATAGAGATTTATTGAAAATCTTTTGGTCACCTGAGTTTGCCGTGACTTAAATTGTCGGCAGGCTGATATTGTGTGAATTCCCACCCTCATTGGAATGTGTCTGGATGGATTAGATAAAACATTCCGCTACAACTTCGCATAAAGTACTTAACGTTTTTAAGGTTATGCGATCCAAGATGCGAAGTATAGCTTAATTTTTTTTCATTCAACATATTTTTATCCAAAGTCAAATCTATCCGCCGGCAATGCGGTGACGTCCTATACGGTGGCGAACGAATTCATTCAGCGGAAACTCAAAAGAGCTGCACCTGGTGTTATGTATTCTCCGGAGCAAAAGGCTAAAAGCTACAGCAAAAAGAATGACGACCGTGTATGAAATCGGGAGAAGTATAGTTCAAATCAATCGGGATATGAATGGCTCGTGTGGGGCCATTAAAAATCTACACTCGCTTAGGCATTTTATCTTCGAAGACTTTGGATGATTAAGGTTGCCTTAACTACATTGCGACCCGAAGAGATCCACCGAGCCCATTTACTACTGTAGAATAATCTTCTACTTTATCCTGTTCTTGTTAAAACAACTTCAAAGTACATTGTTACCGATATTAGTTCAGATCATCCTAATGCTACATGAATGCGGCACGTTCAGTTTAATACTTGATAAATGGCAATAACACACTTGAACGAATCGAAGCTGGAAGTTTTTGTTGTTGTTCGATATTCAGGCGATCCGGACAAAGTCTGTGTGCGGCTGCGCCATGTTTTATCAAACAGAGTTTGAATACTCCTACTTTTCTGTACGCCCCGGATTCCTGTAAGAGAGGAAGCCCGGGCGGACATCGTCAACGCGAAGGACAAACACCCGGTGTATCCAACTCCTACACGCGATCGAGATCTGCTAGACCTCAGTCTTAACTTATCAAACTTGAAGCAAATTGCTGGCTTCATCGGGTTACCCTGCAAATTCGGTTGGGCAGTTAGCCTGGAAGCGCAAAATATTTTAATGCACGTGTTTTTTCTGTTTTGTTTTCGCCGCCTGTACGTTTCTGAGCACACCATGCAATCTAAGAAATGTAGGATTCTGCCTGGGCATCAGCGCACGTTTTAAAGGCAGGAAGGAATACAATTACGTTGATTAGCTAGTTGTTGATAACCGTTCTACTAACTACAAAAGAACTAAAGTTAAAACTAAATCCGTGGAGTCATAATCCAACGAGCAGGAGAAGGTAGAATCACCACGTTGGGTTTGCCAAACCCAAGAGTTGAAGTACCAATTCGTTGGAGAGAACTGGCAATGCCTTTGAAAAGAAGCAATCAAACTTGGTACACTTGGTTGTACAGTAGTAGATGCAGATGCTGCAGCTGCGAAGCAGGCGCAGGAGATGCCCGAGTACATCGTTTCCCTGTAAGGGCATCCGTACAAGCTAGCTTCGAACTGCGAGACCCCCCGGGTCCACCACCCGGGTCCCCATATTTGTTTTGTAGAGGGATGTATGGGATACAAGATATTATTAGCCAATCACAATTGTGAATTTAGGATTTACATTGCTTGACTTGTTGAGAGATACAATAGTGTCAAGCCAGTAATTTTTGCAATCTCGGCCGCCCATCGCTCGTTCATTTCTGCAATGACGCGAGCGCCACCGCCAGGGCGTCCACGCCTGCCTGGCGGCCAAGGAAGGTGGAAGACGAAGCGGGTCCTAACTTCGTATACAGCTGCGACGAAGAAAGCTGTTGTTGAGCATCTGAGACTACACTGCAATGTTCGTTTCACTATAGACACGTTCTTTCCTGATCTACCAACAGAGAAGTATCAAGGAAGACGAGTACGGGTGCTAAGATGGGCTCGCCAGTATGACTCTATCGCCGCTACGTGTGCTTCTGTAGGCGGTGGGGGCAAGCGAAAAGCTCGCTCTACCGGATCAGCTACGATCTTACTTCTAGGTGTTGAGCTAGAGATCGTGAGCTGGATTAATACCAGCGCAAGAAAAAGAAGGAGTCCAAGTTCATGGCAACGCCAAAGGTAAATAACGCATACATGTTGTATTTTATGACAATACTAACGTTTTTTTTAAGGTTGGTGGAATACTTCTTTGTCTGTAGAGTGTCTCCGCTATCACTTCGGTGCGAGTCCCCAGCCCCAGAAGCCTGTACTCCTCCTCTGGGACGACTTCTCTGGACACTGGTCCAAGGAAGTCATCCAGTGCGCAAAGGAGCTGAAGGTGGAGTTGCTCAAGGTTCCACCGGGGGCGACGTCTGTCTGCCAGCCCGCGGATGCTACGTGGAACGGGCCTCTCAAAGCCCGTCTACGACTGCTCTGGATCGAGCATTTGAAGGCCCAGCTTCTCGAGCGAGACCCGGCCATTGCGTTCAAGCTGATGCCCCCCACCAGAGCCGAGATATGCAACTGGGTGAGTTCGGCCTGGAAGGCATGCCTGCTTCCATCATTTCCGGGGGATATCGTAAGTGCCATCTGGAAGTGGAGCCTCCTGAAGAAGCGGCGGAGGTAGTGAGCGAGCTCATTAGTCTAGGGTGTATCGACAGTCGTGTTGGTGAGATTCGCCCTGATAAGGACTTTGATGTAGCTGAGATTGAGGAAGGTGACTCAGATGAGGAATTGCTAGAGTGCTCGGTTTAGTAATTTAGTAAATACATCTGGGCGTCATGTGCCGATTCATTACCCGTGCAAAATTGGGCGCCCTGCATTTCAGCTCCGGTAGGGTCTATCCCTCTACAAAACAAATTCGGTACGTAGCCATCTGGCCCACCCCTTCCGGTAAAGAAAAACATTTTACTGATGAGGGCCTCAAACTTCGTCGCCACAGTTGGCCCCCCAGTCCCTGTCTCCTGAGAAGGATCCCAGTGTCCTACTTGCTGTCCAAACGAGAGCAAGTGAAGCCGAGCTCGTCAGCGCGTTGAGAGCCCCGCGACGACGCTGGCGGTCGGTGCAGGTGCCGATGCGGCTGTGGGGGCTGCCTGCACGACTGCGGCAGTACCGGTCGCTCAAGCTGTCGGTTTTACGGCTGCTGGGATCGCTGCGGGGTCTGCAGCGGCGGGGATGATGTCGGGCGCTGCGATTGCTGGGGGTGGAGGAGTTGCTGCAGGGAGCACTGTTGCAGTGGTGCAAAATATCGGAGCGGCTGGTGCTGTGCCGTTGGGTGTTGCGGCTGCAGCAGTGGCTGTCCCTGCTGCGATCGGTTGGGAGTCGCCGGCATTGTTAAAGGGTTTCGTAGCTTTCAGCACGAGTATTTGAGTGCGTACGACCCGCGGGACCCCGCTGATAAAGGGAATTACTGGCTTGTCGCTACTGAAGAAGGATGGGGCAACGTGCGCGTCTGCCGCTACACTTACGAGAGCAATGCCCGAGCCGCGTTCGACTAGATTTGGTGCTCCCGGATTCACTACAACCCGGACGGCAACGAGGTCCGGTGTGCGGGAGTGAATGGCTGGGCTATCGGGACGATTCGTCGTGTTATGGCGGAGAAATACCTGAATGGTTAGTCCCTGGTGGAGCTGTGGCCGCTTACACACATCCGTACGACTGGGGAACAATGTCGAGAATGGCGCCTCTAGTTAAGCCTTTTTTTAATCGGAAAAATTTGTCCATTCCATTCTACACACCGAGTGTTTAGCTCTATGTGCAACCATAGATCTCCTTTCTTCTTCTTTTTGATGCAGCACCAGTGACAACCTCCTCGCGCACCCAGTCGCCACAGGCGCCTGTCAGCAGTGGCGCATGGGTGAACTTCTATATCGTTTCACTTCAAGGATCAAAGCTCTGGATGAGGTCGTCAGCGTGGGTACAGACGCCAGAGTATGCATAAGTAGGCTAGCACTCGCGAATGCCGAGCTAACAATCAATCTCAGTTCTCAATATGCAGCACAGAACTCAAGTAGCTTGGTACATTGAAAATTTTCAATTAAACCCGACCTGGTTCACCCGTCGGCCAACTACAACATCATGAGCCGCTTCAAGGACGACGACAAGGAGCGCTACCTGACCTACTCGATCGTCGTGCGGCAGGCGGACGAGGAGAAGGGCATCAAGGAACAAGTCGTGACGAAGAAGATGGCGAAGTTCATCGATGGCGGCCCCAAGGAGTTTTTAGATTGGACGTACCACTTTTTCCAGCTCGCCAAGCTGAAGGAGTGGGGCCCCGAGGACAAGTTCCACAACACCAAGATCCTGCTCGAGGGTGATCTGCTCGACGCGTTCAATCACTACGAAGCAAGCGCAAACGACGGCGACATGCGCATGGGGGACGACGACTTCACCAAGGCTCTTTATCAAGCCTCAATCGTGGTCGAGATGCTCCCTCTTCGAGTGGACTAAGTGAGGCGAGACAGATGAAACCTTTGTCGCCCAGGGGGGTTCGTATAGCGCAGCCCAAGACTGTTCCCCAGGGGTAGACCCAGAGAATCGACTTAAGAGTCAACAGCAAGAAGATAGACCCAGAGATTCGCAGCCGCGAAGCTTTAAACCCTGAAAATCACACTCCTTGGTTGGCGTGGGTACCTTGTGTAATCCCTGTCGGCTCGTTTGCCTTCGACGGAACGGCACTCCACCGGTCGTAAATGTAGCCTCGAAGAACTGCGGGAGTGCACGTCTACTTCAGAACGCACCTGCACACCAAAGGCAAACCCAGAGAATAAGATCACCCGAAACCAAGAATATCACGAATTCAGGGTCCAGGATTTCAGTCAACTCCGGGACTTGGAACTCAGAAGACACCTTACCTAAATACACTCCTAGCTCGATAAAACCAACAAATACAGAGTATACAAACACTACAGCTAGCCGTTACTTATTCTTTTTGACCATTGGACGGTGGGTCACACTCACACTAGGCTCACTCGAGTCTGAAATCCAGGGGCCTAGCTCCCCTGAGACTCACACAAACGCGCACGACCTCCAATAAAGGAGGAAAATACAATCACTATCAGTTACCTTCCCTTCACACAAGCAGTCAATACAAAATCCTGGAGGCGACTACCTAGCACCCCAGAATACCCTCTGGGATAATATGAAATGGGCTACCACGAGCACAGCAAGTGACCCAACTAGGATATGGAATAGATGGATCACTCCAGGAAGCTCAAGGCCGTCGCTGATCCCCACCTAACTGAACTTGAGTTGATGGAGCCCACACAGACGGCTGTCCTTCGCCGTTGATGTGCCCTTAGCGTCCCGCGGTCGTAGTCTCGGGTCCTCCGGATTTCCGTCGGCAGGCTTGGCCGAAGTCACTTGCGCAGTACAGGGAAAATTGAACTCTGTTTGTCCTTTACCAGCTACTTCTCTCTCTCTCTCTCTTACTTCTTCCTCTTCTGCATTCTTCTTCGGGCGAATATCTTCTGTTCACTATGCTTGGGGTCAAATGTCTTGTCTTGAGTATAACTTGGGTTCCGCGGTCCAAACTAGCGATCGGCTTGCGAATCCATTGTCGCACGGCGTCGAAAGTGCCAATAGTGGGCCCTTAGACTTGGTTCAGTATGGTGCAGGACTCCCTCTCGACTCCTCGAAAGTATCCAGTCTTTGCCTCCACAACGGTTCTTCAAGGTCACGCATCACTTTGATTGCAGACTGACTGCGAACTGACTCGAATCCCTGAGAATCAGGTGACACTCAGGGTCATCTTCTGAAATCCTGGGAATTCTAAGGAATCTTGGGGAACTGTAGGGATTCTTGGGTGTTGGCTTGGGAAACACTTAAGTTCAGTATAGAGAGTCTGGATTTATGGTCCAAACCCAGAGAATCATCTTTGGAACTCTGGGTCACCTGTACTCAGGGAGGTGAACTCTGGGTCATCGTGCGGCACTCTGGGTTTCCATGCAGCACTCTGGGTAACAAGTCTGCTACATTGCAGGCCTGCGTGCATCTCCACAAAGCCACACTTTTAGCGGGTTTAGCGGCCTCCTGCGCATGATCACGGTAGTAGTGGGTTGATTCTCAGGGTAATTTGATCCTATGGGGCGCTCTGAGCCACAGCAAGATGAGGTGTACTCTGGGATACATTCTCCAGAGACACTTTCCGCCAGACTTTAGGCACTCATCGTAAGGGAAAGTCCGCGGCTGGACTGAGTGTTCTCTGAAATTCTGGGCGTGCACTCCCGGGATTCACACTTCCAGCCAGTTGGGCCCATCTGCGGTCAGACGCTGGATTCACCCCAAGAAATCACTTCTCTCCCACAGTCGCCATCCATGTCACACGGGTACAGCCGCGCCGTATCCAAGTCATCCACCAATCAGCATCTGATACAAACTCCAGGTCACAGAGGTGACGACACATCGTCGGCAATTTTCTGGGGACCGCCTCGTGCCAACCGCCCCTCCTGGTCCGGGTCCATCAAAGAGGAAATCGCTCCGAACTGGTGAATCATGGCCAGGCCACAAAAACACACAGGTCCATCCACCGTCGACTTCGACACGGCCGTTGTACTCTGTCGACTCCCAGGGTTTCACTCACTTTGGCGGCACCCTGTCTCCCCAACGGTTGGTCAGGACCTATCTTCAAGGTTCTCCTCTCAAACGCAAAAACTCTAACGGGCAATGCGCGGTCACATCGCCATTTGACAGATCGTCAACATGGCGGAGAGCGCACCTTCGGACGGCAAGCAAGCGACGGCGCCAGCTCAAGGCACGGCGCCCCCCCGGCAGCGCGCCCCCTCCGACGCAGCAGCGCACCGGCGACGCTCCTGCGGAAGCCGCACATGTGGGTGGCGGCAGTGATCAGGCAGGGAACTCAGCGTCCGGCGACACTTCGTCGGGCAACACCAAGGCGGGTGTGACCAAGCATCTCCTTCTCCAGGGATGCGGGCAAGACCTCTGACGCGGACATGCGCGAGGCCGATGGCAACGCCTCGGCAGACGCTGCAACCCAGGAAACTGGTGACGCGAACTCAGGGTCTAAGGCTCCAGACGCAGGCGGTGCAACTTCGAACGTGAACATGGAGGGCGCCCCTAAATTCAAGACACCTCGACACACGACGCTGGAGGACGTCAGCGGGCTCATCTTTGCAGGTATGCTTCGACAGGAGGAGGTTGATTTCCTTAACTTCCTGGTCCCTGAACGTCCACCACACTGGAAGCTGCCGGCTCCGCCGAATCTCAAGACCAACGCGCAACTCGTGGGAGTCCCAGGGATCGTGAACGACATTCGCGCGGGCGCGTTCGCCATGGAAGGCTACGGCGGCGCGACTACGCTGGTCGGCTTCGAGGAGCTCTCCGACGAGGATCTTCAAGGGTTGAAGGAAGTCTGTGGCGCCGACGCTGCCTATGTCCACGTCATTCGCCTCTTTCAGCATTCGAGCTGGACCACACCCTGAATTTCATCGGTATTCGACGCGAGATGGCTTCACTCCTGCGTCACTTCAACAGCACAAGGCTCGCTGAACGTGTGTTCAAGATGACTGGTTACCTGCGTCGCGTCCTTGAAGCCTATAGGCACATGATTTCCCTGGCTGATTCTCAGCAGGGTGCTTCCGCTGTCCAAGACACGGTCGACACGCGGCGCAAGTACAAGGAATTGAAGTGCTCCTGGAAATTCACGTGTGACTACTGGCTTCTGGAGGTTCAAGAGCCCCTGGGCAAAGCGGATTCCGCCGGGGACCAGCAAAAGACAGCGTTGCAGGAACAGATGGTGCAATACCAGGACGAGATTGATTCCCTGGAATCCGAGAAGGCGCAGCTCAAGGCGCGCCTGGCGGACTCTGAGGCTCAGGTGCAGATCCTGAAATCGCGACTCGAGGCTGCTGCTGCTGTGGATCCCTGGAAGTTCTCTGACTTCTTGCAGAAACACACTGAATTTACGGGTAATTGGGAGCGTTTCCACGACCTCTTCAAGTTCTGCATCAATGTTGTGGTGAAGCACCGAACAAGAATTTCCAACTGCGATGACATCAAGCGACATGGCGGCAGAACGATAGGCAGGGATCAGGCTGCGGTCGCGGATCAAGAGGGTCTATCGAGAGATCTCAAGCGATTGGATAACGTCGACGCATAAGGCAACACATATGTCAAGACAGATTACGGGTGATCGCGCTTGGACTGCGGCGTGATTCGACGTAGACCCAAGCCCGGATCGACGACCAATCTCGCAGACCTAAGGCGGCCGAGGACAGAAGAGGACGGATCGGCAGCGCACAGCAACTCGCACAGGTCATCGATCGGGAGTTGATCGCCGATCGCCGATCGGGATCGATCGTGGATCAGACCCCGATCGTGGATCGCCGATCGTGGATCGTGGATCGGGAGCCGATCATGGATCGCCGATCGACCCGGATGGGAAGCACATGGGGGCGAAGCCAGGGCAAGAATCCAGTAATCGTTTGGTTGTAGGATGGTAGATGAGATGGCAGCGGTAGATAGAGACCAGCTAAACATAAATCAGAACGCAATTTGCACAGAAAACCACAAGTGCCCTCAAGTCGTCAAGTCCCAGGAGCTACATTGGCCTCGGCAAGCGTTGACACGTCGGGTAGTGAACTAGCGGTACGGTTAAGACTGGATTAATACATTGGCCAGCTTGACCTACTCTAGTGATCTTTCTCTCGTGTGCAAGTCCTCGATCGACCGGATACTGCTTGGCCGGCGATCGCTGCGTCTCTCAATCGACCTCGATCCCGCTATAGGAAGCGGCAAGCAACTCAGGAAAGGAAGGAACACACCCGGAAAGGCAACGACAGGCCTTGGATCTACTCCGGGCCGACCGATCGAAGCGAAGAACCCTCGATCGGAGCGTATACTCGGACGCAGAGCGAAGACTACCGCGCTGCTCCACAAACTATCCCCGCGTCACGCCAAGACACTCGATCTTCACCAAGTGCTGCATCTTCGGAGCCCCGAGAGAGCAGATCCAGCCCGCCGACGGGTACACAAGGTGAGAACAAGTTCAGCCGATCACGGATCGTTGGAGGACCCCCTCCGTTAGTCGGTGTCCGGGCGCTGGTGGGAAGCTCGATCAGGCCTTAACCAGATTTTGGCCGATCCCGCTACACCACAATTTCGCGAAGCCTCCTGAGTCCTGGGACACTGTCATCAACGTCACGGCCATGGACAAGCGCAAGGCTGCGGTGGCCCCGTATCCTGAGAAGAGCACGCGCATGCCTCCGTCTTCAGGGTCTGGGTCGTCCAGTCGTCCTGAAATTCTGGATCTCACGGGTCCTGGCAGCAAGTCTCGCAGCGGTCCGAAGACCGGGGGCAAAACTCAGGATTCCAAGAAATCTCAGGGTTCCAAGAAGGGCCAAGGCTCCAGAAAATCACGGGACTCTGAGGCACCAGACACACATTCGAAGTCCACAAGCTCCAAGGTTCCCAGCGTCGTCCCAAGAATCATCAACCTGGCCGCGACTCTGTGCGTCGCGCCGGCGAGAAGAATGTGGTGTCCAAGGAGGCCGCACACACGATGCTCCCTGGGGGTATCGTCTGGAAGGAAGTTCGGCCAGACGTGCGTCAGGCCATTCTTGCTGGGCTCAGGAACGACACAGCCATGGAGTGGATCGGCAGCGATCGGGCGGCTCTCGGACATTTCCGGCAGCCGCAGCCGACCCAGATGCTCGTGAGCATGATGCACTGGCGTCGTCTCGACCAGACTCCCTGGAGCAAGTACGTCCCTGAGGCCAACTACGAAATGGCGGATGAGCGTCTGGATCGGCGCCTTCGACGTGGTGACACTCCGTCACCCTGGGCAAACCTCGACGACCAAGTGGTGTATCCTGACGAAGACGCAGATTCCACGGTGGACGACGTTGAGAACGACCCTGACTACAAGCCTCCTGCTCAAGACCCAGAGGAAGACACCAGTAGCTGTTCCGAAGTGGAAGCGGGGAAACCCGCCGCTAAAATTCAGGAGGGCGTCAAGGAGGAGGAGGAAGAGGACGACGAAGAAGAAGTAGAAGAACCCCTGGAATCCAAGCCTCCTGTCAAGCGTCCGCGTTCGGGGTCCAGCGGGAAATCCCAGAGTTCCAACCCAAAGCCTAAGAAGCAGCGTCGCAAGGAGTCCCAGAAACACACTTCTGGCACTCAGGCTTCCGGTGCAACTCAGGAGACCAAGGCCCCTACGCGTCCCAAGAAACCATTCACGCTCGCTCGCAAGTCATACGCAGAGCTCACCGTTGAGGACTTGAGGACGACCGAGGTCCCTGAAGATGACGAGACCTCCTGGTGCATCCACCGTATCCTGGTGTTGTATCCAAGCTCGACCAAGAGCTCGTCCTGCCAGACTCCTGGGTTTCCAGAGGATGAGATCCACAAGTACTCTTACGATGTCGTCCATGACCGCTGGAACCGCAAGGCATATCAAGCCATTCTGGATTCCGCACCGGGAGACGATGTTTTAGGGTCGCATCAGGGTATTCTACTTCCACGAGCGAAGCTTGCTCACGGCGAAGGCACTCAAACTGGTGGAGGAAATCGTGGACGCCATGCACAAGCACGCACAAGTAATTTGGGAACGGGGACACTGGGTGCCCATCCCGACCGAGGCCACGGGAGATGTCCGCATGGAATCGCAGCGCTAGGCCCGTCGGAATGCACTTTGCAGAGCGTTCAAGACACTCATGGAGAGCTCTGACAATACCCCTGGGTTCATACCCTCGTTGCTGCACGAGCCAGGTGTCTGGAAGATCCCTGACAAGTGCTGCCACTGGATTTGGGAAGATCCCACGGCCACGGTTCTCGGGGGGGGGGGGGGGCCTTGTGCAATGACTTGGAGACCCAGCTTGCTGCGTTGGACATGCGCGAGCCGACCCGGGTGAAGTGGAACACGGCTGCCGATGACGGCGAGTGGCTCCAGTACGTGCCGCGCAATGTCTCCCGCCACATCAAGCCTACGGCCATCCGTAAGCTCAACCTGCTGTCTCTTGTGTACTCTTGAGTGCCTGTATGTTCACTAATCCTGGGAACAGCTTTGCCTTTACATGTCGAAGCGTAACTCTCTATAATACCCAGGATTTCATCTCGATTTCTGTGTTTTTCCCCAGAAATTCATCGTCTGCTGACTTGTTCCCTGGGTCACCCAACTTCGTCTACTGTATCCATGTCCTCGTAAAGCTCGCCGGCTTCATCTTCTTTCTCACCACTTCACACAATGCCGAAGCTTCAGCAATATCGCCTTCTCCATAATCAAATCAAATCACATTCACGTTCTCCGTCTCCAATATTCACACATTCCGTCGATTTTCCCCAGAGCTTCACAGTGTTACTCAGGGTTCCCCTGAATATCACATGTAACTCTGGGTCATTGTCACCCCAGAGTGCTAGACTCCTAGGTGATCATCTCCAGCCTGCATGGCCTGGAAATGGGCTCGCGCTCTTGCGCCTTGATTGAATTCGTAGAGCAGGGCACGACAGTTGAGCTTCGACACAGGCAGCCACTCGGTCTCATCATACCCCTTCCACTTCACAAGGTACTCGCGAATTCGTCTCGCTGTCCGAGTCCGTATAGTCCATCGCAAATCCAGGATTCGCTCAACTTCGTACTCATCGTTCGCAGCGTCGGGCTCCCAACTGTCTTCAGGCAACAGCGCCGCATCAAAGTCATCATCCTCGTCCACGTCGATCTCCACAGTGGGCCGCTTCGGGAAAAGTGCTCTGGGTTTCAAACGGCTCACGTGTACCCAGGGGTTCACGCGATATCCTGTGTTTTGACCCTGAGTTTCACGCGGTCGTTGTCGTGGATTTCCTGAATTCTGAAGGGACCATGCCACATACGAGCCAGTTTGCGGCTCAGCCCGGGCTGCACCTTAGGTATGTACAGCCACACAGCATCACCAGCCGCGAATCCCGACTTCAGACGTTCAGACAGCTCTCTCCACTTCCTGGTCTGTTCGGCAGAGCCCGCTCGCTTGGCCTTCTTCTGAAGATCTTCGGCGCATCCTTGCGCATAACTGTAGTCACGCTGCCGCTTCCTGCGCCACTCGTACGCAGTGCGCTCCTGGATACTCGAGGGCTTGGGTCCCAACATTGCAGACACAGTGCCGTGTGCGTCCCAGCCGTGCACCAGGAAAAACGGAGTGTCCAGGCGAGTGGCATCGAACGATGGATTCAGGGCAAACATCAAGCGCTCAGCATGGTCGTCCCAGCCACTCTGGTCCGCCTCCGCAATGTAGCTCGAATGCTGCGCAAGACGGTCTGCACCGACCGCTCTTGCTGTCCGTTCGCCTGGGGGCAGTACGCCAGAGTGGCCCGCTGCTTGCTACCCAGAAGTTCACGGAAGCGCGTGAACACCTCGCTCATGAACCTTGGGTCTTGGTCGTGCCTCAACATCGAGCTCGCGCCGAATCTCCTGAAGACCTGCTCTTCGTACACTTCGGTGACATCTTGGGCTGTGGTGGAACTCATGGGTTTACACATGACTAATCCTGAGAACGCATCCTGAAAAAGCAACATGAACGTGTTCCCACGGTCCGACTTAGGCAAATGCGTCACGAAATCCGTGGACACAACTTCAAAAGGGCGCCTCGGTTCAATGTTCCTAGGGAAGGCCATGGATTCTGAGGGCGCCCCTTGCCGCTGGCGCAATCCACACACTCTTTGACGAAAACTTCAACGTCAGCGTACATCCCGTGCCAGTAGAACTCAGATCGCAGCTTCTCGTACGTCCTCGTGATCCCCTGGTGCCCACCCTGAAAATCATCGTGAGCGTAGTGCAGGATATCTGGTCGCAGAGCTTTCGGCACCACGAGTCTGAGTTCGTCAACCATGTCTCGGGGTCGATCTCTGGTAGACCGACTCAAGCGATACAGGACTTCTCTGGAATCCGACACGAAATCATCAGCAACCTTCGCGACTTTCCTGGCTTGAGCGTGCGACAGCTTCGTCGTGTCGCCCTTCAGGAAATCCTTGAGTTGCAGCAGGTAATCATCTTTGTCCTGGTGCACTTTGATGCGTCGCCACCGTTCTGCCTGATATTCCGGAGGTCCCGTGGGTTCGCTTTGGGCTTCGATCCCCTGAGCCTGCGCCCGAATCATTACTGCAAACACTTTAGCCGCCACAGGCAATGGAGCGCACTCAGGTCCAGGGATACCCAAAGTTTCGCCACCCTGAGAATCACTCCCCTGAATTCCAACGTTCAATAACACCTTTGGCTTTACCAACTTCTCGTGAATCTTGGACACTAACCGCAGATGTGTTCGTTCATCAGCATCCTCCACCTTCCAGGATTCGCCAATCGCGAGGGTCTTAGACGTCAGGTAGTCTGCTGCCTGGTTGAACTCTCGCTTGACATGCACCATCCGCACAGACTTGAACTTCGTCTTCAGCACTTCATACTCGGTCAGCTTCCTCTGGAGATTTGGCTAATTGCAGTTGATGAGACCCTGGGCTTGCTGGATGACAATCCTGGAGTCCCCAACCACAACGATATCCTGAATTCTACGCTCAATCGCCAGAGTGAGGCTCTTCAGAAGTCCATGATACTCAGCGTCATTCACAGTCTCGTCCTCCAGGATGAATCCCAGGGCATCCAGGATTTTCCACCCGGGGACATGCCACAGAATGCAGCCGCAGCTCCCTTGTCGCGTGGAAGTCTTAGCGGCGCCATCGAAACTCAGAATACACCCCTCATAACCTGCTTCCAGCATTTCCATACTGATAGGCACGAGAGGTTTGACGCGCCCCTTGGCTGGGATCAGGTTTTCAGCGATCTCATCCAAGTGTTCTCTGGGGGTAATACCCGCACTCAGAATTGCAACCAAGCCGTCTTCATCCCGTTGAACTCTGCGTATCTACAGGTTCCAGTGGGACAACTTCAGACCCCACTTCACCGTTCGACCGTCTGCCGACTGCGAAGTCAGCAACCACTTCAACACAGAGTATCGCGAGTAGACAACGATCTTAGGGCTGCCTTCAACCAGAGTGCGAAACACCTCCAGGACTATCAGGATAGCAATCACCTCCTTCTCCGCAATGTGATACCGCAGCTCAGCGTCATTCATGACGCGACCTGTGAATCGAACCGGATGCACAATCCCGTCGTAGTCCTGGCCCAACACAGCGGATACTGCCCACGGGTTCGCGTGGGGAATAATAACGAAGGGCCTTGAACGATCAGGGTGTCTGAGTAACGGAGTCGAAACAATCTTGCGCTTCAGGATTTCGAAGGCTTCCTGGGCTCTCGACAGGTCTCTCATGAATTTCACTTGTTCCTCAGTCAGCTCGTACAGGACGGCCGCGATCACGGGTAGATCTTCAATGAACTTGTTGTAGTAATTCAGACTCCCCATGAAAATCTGGACGCCTTTCAGTGTCGTCGGGAACGGCAAGTCTTGGACCCCCTTCGCGATTATAGGGATCGCCCTGATACCCTCAACACTAATCTCGTGAGAGAGGTACGGAATGGACACCTCCCCGAATTCACTCTTAGGAAGACTCACAGAAATATTCCAGTAACGTAGTCGGAAAAGCAGCGCGTTCAGATCCTGGCACAGCTGTTCCCAAGTAGGCGCACCGTGGGCGATGTCGTCAATATACGAGCTTCGACCCAGGACAGGGCCCATCTGGGAGGGAGCCGGGATGTTACGCTGAAAAACAGTTATCTCATCCGTCAACACTGAAAGCCGCAGGGCATTTTAACCTGAAACTCTGGGTTCCCCAGAGTTCAACCCCAAAAAGTCCAAGACATCCTGGTCAACCTCAGCTTCTTCCTCAGGGGAAAGCCGCAGAAATCCCCATAGACAGTTATTGAGAACTGCCTGGTAGATCAGCGGGGCGTTCTTGAGGCCAAACGGCATCTTGACCCACTGGTAATGCCCATAGGGACAGACGAACGCAGCGATCAACTTGGCTCTCTCGGTCATCTTGATAGCCCAGAAACCACTCGCCATGTCCAAGCTCATAAACCACATCGCCGACTCACAGCCAATCAAACGATCATCAATAAGCGGCAGCGGGTAGTGCGAGAGCTTGATGATCCATTCACCACGCGATAGTCGATGCACATCCGGATGTCAACGCCATTCTTCTTGAGGACGATCACGACTGGAGATGCCAAGGGGGACGTAGAAGTCTCGATCAGCCCGTTCTCCAGAAGCTTCTTCAGAAGTTCATACACCTTGGTCCACAGATGTGGTGCAATGGACCTTGGACGTTGAGCAACAGGTTTAGCGTCGCCTACATCCAGGTCACAAACCACTCCACGGGCAGATGGGGGAGCTGCATTGCCGTCTCCCACGAAGATCTTCCGATGATATTCCAGAATTCGCCTCACTTGGTCTTCCATCTCGGACGTCATTTTCCCAGGGACTCCAACATCTGTCTCCTCGATCTTGCACTCAGGGGCAAGTCACGCATCTCAGGAAGCATAACCAACTGGTCGCGCAACTGAGAGAGCAACTCACTTCATTCGCGAATGTAAACCGCAGGCTCGTAGTCGAAGTCCTCTATCGAGAGTCGCATGCAGCGCTCATACTCCTGCTTCAGCTTCTCCAACGGAGTTCCAGGCATCCCTGATATCAGGATGTCCCAGTAATCTTCAACAGCACCCTGAGAATCGTCGTCATCCACATCGAATCCCAGAGAATCACCTTCGTCGCCCCGCTGACCCTGAGAATCACTGCCAACTTCAACCTGTAAACTCAGGGTTTCAGCGGCCGTATCATCTTCAGGTCTCATGTACTCTGGGGTTTCGACAGTCTACGAGGCAGCATCGGTCACCGCATCCTTCAGAACGTCACCTAAGTCACTCGTATCAACAGCAACGTCTCGGAATTCAGGAGGGTGTTCAGGGGACACCTCTTCGGTCTGAGTTACAGCGTCTTCCGCGAAGCGCACGCGACGAGTCTTCGGTTTCCTGAGAATCGAGGCAAGCAGTGCCATGTCGGGGCCCTTTGCAGGTCGCGGCAGAATCTTCGCAGGGCACTGATACTCTGGGGTCTCGACACAGGATGGCTCCAGCGCAGCCAGGCGTTCCGCACGAAGTCTGCCCTCACGCGACTGAACACTCTCCAGAATAAGAGTCTGCCACTCCCGGTACACAAAAGAACCAGGGCGCACAAAGCGTCCGGCATGTGGGAAGAAGCCATACTCCACGATTCGGGCGACTGGTGTTCTGTCGTGAATCCAGCCGTCCTTGTCCGAGATGTTAACCACCTTCACAGCGACCGGCCAGGATCTCGCAGCGTAAATCAGGTGTGTTACCCAGCGGTCACCTCGTCCTGCCCACACAACTTCACGCCGTGGGTTCGTTGGTCCATACGCAATCTTTACCACCTTGGATTCCCCAGGGGCCAGGTACCAACTACCTGTGGTTTCCACGGGCATCTCGACACCCAGGCGATCCTCTGGAGTCCATCCAAACATGATGATTGCCTCTTCATCTGGAAGTGTCACGAGACCATCGCGAACACTGATCCTCACTCCAGCTGGAAACATGAAACTCATACCCAGAAGCACTTCGATCCCTTCGCCGATGTTAGCAATCCAGACATCCAGGAGATATATCACCCTCGAACCGAGAGTAATCTTCACCTGAGCACTGGCACCGATATACGTCGGAACGCCTCCCATACCAGACACCTTGGTTTGTTTGTGCGACTTGAGTGTGAGTCCGAGCTTACGCGCTAAATCGAAACCCACAATATTCACAGTCGCACCGGTATCCAGGAGAACTATCGTCCGGCAGTCGTTCACAGCACCATGCACCATCGCCACATGACGTTTCTTCGGGTCAGGGTCATTGTTTTCCCACCATCCGTAGCGCTCTCCAGGGTTCAGCTTGTACTCCACCATTTCGTCAGAGTTCACCGACCCAGAGTTCGCATGTTCAGAATGCTGATTTTCAGATGAAATCATGAAATCCTGAGTCAAAGTAGTCATGCATTGTTGGTTATCTTGGATTCTTGTTCTCAGCTCCAGGCCTACATACACTAGAACACATAACTTTGGGGCCTTCATCAGCCCGGCGCGTACTGGGTCCCCATCCAGCGGGCTTATCGGTTTGACGGCCTCCCAAAGTTTGCTTCGCCATCCAGGAGTTTATCCAGGATTTGACTGGGCATGTCCTTCAGTGCACCTTGGCGGGCGACTTTCTTCACAGCTTCCAGTGTCTTCCAGTCTTCACACGGTTTCCCGAGATGTAGTTTGCCACAGTTCTCGCACGGTTGCGCGCGACACAAGAGAGTCGGATGACCAACTTCCAGGCAGCGATCACACTTCACATCTTTCCAGCAGTTCCCCTCTGGGTGCCCCCACTTGCCGCACTTCTCGCAGAACTTGTCCCTATTCGGGTTCTCGCGGCGAGGGGAACGGAATCCAGAGTTCGCGTTCGGTCCTGGTTGGGCGTTCGATGGACGCCATCCCATGTTATCTATCACGCGATAGACCTCGTTCGTCAGCGTCTGAGTCCACTCGGCACCCTTCATACTCGCCAGGCTCCCAGCGCTAGGCGTAGAAGCTTCTTCTCCAGATATCTCACGAGTTGACCCTGAATTCGCGCTCGCACTTCGGGCTGAAACTCTGGGTTCGTCCATGATTTCCTGGAAACGGGCGTGAATTTCAGGGTTTTCATCCGACTCAGAGTCAGAAACATCGCCCCCTAGTCACGTACGCACGCCCTGCACGCTTTGGCTTGAAGCGTCCCTGGGGAATGTTGTCGGCACGGAAGTCACGAACTCTGGGTGGAGGAGCGGCACGGAAGTCACGAACTCTGGGTGGAGGAGCGGCACGGAAGTCACGAACTCTGGGTGGCGGAGCATCATGGTCGCTGCGACTCCAGACATCTTCGTCCTGTTCCAGAGCGTACTCTAGATTAGCGATACTCCTGAATCTCTGGCCCTGCAGCGACGTCTTGAGGCGCGTGCCCCTGAGTTTCGTGATCAACCTCCGGATATGCTTCTCCAGACACTTCGAAGACTTGCGAAAGTCAATGTCAGCTTTCCCAGCGGCGGAATTCAGACGATAGAAGAAACCCAGGGCGCTCTCTGAGTTCTTCATCTCCATCGTGAAGTAGCGTTCAGAGTACGACGAGCGCGCTTTGCGGTACTTCGTCCTGAATGCAGACGCCAACTCCTTCAGTCACGTTGCGTGTGCTTGGGCAACCGGTTGAACCAGTCACGCGCAGCTCCCGAGAGTTTCAACTTGAGCTCCTAAATTCGCATCTTCGTAGACCAGCCTCCCTGAGCCGCCATGTTCGCAAAAATCTCCCACCAATGCACGCGTTCTCTGAGTGACGCCTTAGTGTCGAACTCACTCAGAGTATTCGAGTTGATGTACGGTCGGAACGTCAGGAGCGTAGTGCCAGCTTGAGCCGTAGAGGCCGCAGTCAGGTTAACCCCAGGGTTCTCGTCCAAACTGTCATCCGAACTCTCAGAGGACGAGTCATCATCGCTGGAATCGGAGCTTAGGTCGGAGTCCGAGGGTGGATTGACATCCTGACGCTTCTTCTCCTGCTGCTGATGTTTCTTGGGCGCAGAGCGCTTGGAGTCTGTTTTAAAGTCCTGCGAGGCCTTAGAGGCCGCTGTTCTCCTGGGATCCGACGTCTTCCCCAGAGATACAGGCTCGAGCTTGATATCCTGCGTCACCTTGGTCTCCATAGCACCATGTCCCCGCTTGCCGCGCGCAGTTCTGCCGGAAGTGTCGGCAGAAGTCTGCGCGAGGGTCGCTCTCAGCTGGGAGGCGGCGATTTCGGAAGTGTTCTTCGGATCAGCAGTTTCACGTCTCTGGCCTGCGACACTTGCGTTTCCGTTGATTGCGCCACTGGATTCTTGGGGTCGGGTTGCAACTTCAGGGTTCTGAGCCACTGACGACCTCACATTTGTTACAAAAATCAGGGGCAGCGGTTGCGCGAAGTGCTTGAACTTGGGCCAATGTTGCATGAAGGTCGTGCACTTGGCCAGCGTGGAAACGCTGGATATTCTCGGAAGACTCCCTCTCTCGCTCTCTCTCCGCTTCGAGCTCTTGAACCTTCTGCTCCATAGTCGACATTTGTTCCTTACAACCCGCATAGGTCTCGGAAACCCAGCGCGCGCGCTCCGAGTCGGCTTCGGCTTCGCGCTGTTGCCAGCGCTCGGTGTAGGCGGCGTCCAGGTGCTCACGCTCGAGACGTACAGCTTCCGTGATACTCTGGGTCATCCCCTGAGTTTCAGTGGAACTCTGGGTCTGGCGAGCTTCCACGTCCTGCGCATGCCGTTCCGCCTCTCCCCGGGCGATCTCAGCGTGAATCAAGCGATCTGTGAGTTCCTGGATCTGGCGACGCGCGTCCAGGTCACGTTGTTCCCTGAGACGCTCGCGCTCCAAGGCATCCAGGCGTTCTCCGGCGAGAAACTCGCGTTGCTCCTGCTCCATGCGGACCTGCCACTCCTGCTGTTGTCGCAAGACATTCAGCCCGATTTGGGCGGGCCCAGACCTCGCGGACACGGACGAAGCTGACCCAGGATTCCTGGATCCACTCTAGCGGCTCGACGCAGCTGATTTTCTGGAATTCGTCGAGCGTCGAGAGCACACCTCGCTCTCGGAACTCTGGTGTTGACTCTGCTCATCGGCGCTGACATCCCTTGGACCACCGAATCCAGAAACCGGGGCAAGAACCCTGAGTTTCGGTCGTCAGTCGTCGCTAAAATCCTGGAGAGACCGGTCTTCCTGGGTGCGATCTCTGGGTCAGAGTGCACCGACGATGCCATCTCAAAGTCATCTTGGTCGACTGACACGAGACGTGGCGGGATGACTGTCCGGGTGCCGTGAAATCGCTGCGAAGCCACCGGCACTCTGGGCCACAAGCGCTAGAGCTCCAACTCGTTGTCCAAGCGACATCATCCACGAAGACGAAGAACTGCCGTAGGACGTTTGAGCGCCCGAGGCAGTACTCTCATCGGAAGCACGCGAAGTGCCGATGACGCTTGGCACCGCACCTGGGGCGGCATCCTTGGCTTCCGCCTCCAAAGAATAATGACGATTGGACATGGAATGCAGGGGGGGGATTCTGGAGCGAAGCACTAGTCGAGGACTTGTACGCTGGAAGAGAAGACAGTGACGGCGTAGGCAGCGCAGATGGCGTCGACGGGACTTGCGGGCGAGGCGGTCCATGTTGTGTGCGCTTGGATCGCGGCTCACCGTCACTTGACCCTCGCGGGCTCCGTGAAATCCTGAGTCCAGTGACCCTGAATTTCAGGCCAAACTGTCGGCCCAGTAGATCCGCATCGTAGTCCGTCATGAATAGATCACCGTCTCCATCTTCCTTGCGGTAATTCAGTCTTGGCGCTTGATCTTGAACGCTTGGTGCATGTTGGTCTTCAGGGTTCACCTTGAAAGGCACACCAGCGATCACCAGTCTCCACTCGACCAGCTCCACCGCGATGAAATTCTGAGTTTCTTCCATGACCGAGCGCACCAGGCTTTCTGGAATCCTGGAAGCGCGCGTTGTAGACCAGCCAGGAATCAAGTTGACAAACTCGAAACCAGCTTCGAAGAACAGAGTCTGTAGAATGGCGACACACTCGCGTGCGGTCATGATATTCTGGGGAATCGTAGTCGCCATAAGATCCTGGGCAGTTCCGACGCCCCACCGAGCGGGGTGAAACTCAGAGATCCAGGCTTCATCTTGGTTCGCCAGAGACAAACGCCACTTGAAGTAGTCTCCCGTTGCGTACGCGGCCGCGAAGTACGAGTTGGCGTCCGGTTTTGGAGTCGGCCACTCATAGACGACACTTGGCGGCATCACCTTCCCAGGATTCACCTCTTCCCAGCGTCGAACTTCATGTCGGACGTACAGCACCATGTTCTCAGTGTCCAACGCCGCTGCTCCCGGTTCCGAAGCAGGCCCAGCAGCTTCCCGGACGTCACCTTCAGGCTTCTTCCTGGGTGCCGCTTGCGAACTTGGCGCTGAAAAGTTGGGTTCAGGTGGTGCAAACCCAGAATTCACCTTGGAACTCTGACTCTTCGCCTCCTCCTTCGCTTGCACGGGCTCCGGCTTCACTTCCCCAACAGACTCGTCCGAAGATGAGACCAAGTCAATCACCTACGGGGGCTCAACCGTATTGGCGCCTCCCTCAGACGCCTAAGCACCACCCTCGCGGGTGTGCTCCTCTGGGACTTCAGGAATCCGCGACCCAGAATTCGCCTCCGTCGAATCTTGGAACTCAGACGAAACCTCTTCCTCCTGAGTTTGCGATCCAGCAGCAGGCAGATCTTGAACTGCAGACGACTCGCCGTCCCCACCTTGAACTGCCTCGCTCTCGCGAGCAGCCTTCTTCGCCTTCCGAGCGTCGCGGACGACTGTTTCCAGGTCTTTGTGCTCCTCAGGCTCCATAGCTTGAACACGACGTGGCTGACTGACGCCTCACCGCGTCCTCCGTCACCGCGTCCACTTTTCTTCGCCCCTCGTCCTCCAGGCATCTTGGTAGCTTGTAGTTGACGGGCACTCAGCACTTCTTCAACACTTGATTTCGGCGAAATCCTCGACAATTGAATCCGGGCACGCGCACCAGCTGAGGCGAGGCCGATGAAACCTTTGTCGCCCAGGGGGGTTCGTATAGCGCAGCCCAAGACTGTTCCCCAGGGGTAGACCCAGAGAATCGACTTAAGAGTCAACAGCAAGAAGATAGACCCAGAGATTCGCAGCCGCGAAGCTTTAAACCCTGAAAATCACACTCGTTGGTTGGCGTGGGTACCTTGTGTAATCCCTGTCGGCTCGTTTGCCTTCGACGGAACGGCACTCCACCGGTCGTAAATGTAGCCTCGAAGAACTGCGGGAGTGCACGTCTACTTCAGAACGCACCTGCACACCAAAGGCAAACCCAGAGAATAAGATCACCCGAAACCAAGAATATCACGAATTCAGGGTCCAGGATTTCAGTCAACTCCGGGACTTGGAACTCAGAAGACACCTTACCTAAATACACTCCTAGTTCGATAAAACCAACAAATACAGAGTATACAAACACTACAGCTAGCCGTTACTTATTCTTTTTGACCATTGGACGGTGGGTCACACTCACACTAGGCTCACTCGAGTCTGAAATCCAGGGGCCTAGCTCCCCTGAGACTCACACAAACGCGCACGACCTCCAATAAAGGAGGAAAATACAATCACTATCAGTTACCTTCCCTTCACACAAGCAGTCAATACAAAATCCTGGAGGCGACTACCTAGCACCCCAGAATACCCTCTGGGATAATATGAAATGGGCTACCACGAGCACAGCAAGTGACCCAACTAGGATATGGAATAGATGGATCACTCCAGGAAGCTCAAGGCCGTCGCTGATCCCCACCTAACTGAACTTGAGTTGATGGAGCCCACACAGACGGCTGTCCTTCGCCGTTGATGTGCCCTTAGCGTCCCGCGGTCGTAGTCTCGGGTCCTCCGGATTTCCGTCGGCAGGCTTGGCCGAAGTCACTTGCGCAGTACAGGGAAAATTGAACTCTGTTTGTCCTTTACCAGCTACTTCTCTCTCTCTCTCTTACTTCTTTCTCTTCTGCATTCTTCTTCGGGCGAATATCTTCTGTTCACTATGCTTGGGGTCAAATGTCTTGTCTTGAGTATAACTTGGGTTCCGCGGTCCAAACTAGCGATCGGCTTGCGAATCCATTGTCGCACGGCGTCGAAAGTGCCAATAGTGGGTCCTTAGACTTGGTTCAGTATGGTGCAGGACTCCCTCTCGACTCCTCGAAAGTATCCAGTCTTTGCCTCCACAACGGTTCTTCAAGGTCACGCATCACTTTGATTGCAGACTGACTGCGAACTGACTCGAATCCCTGAGAATCAGGTGACACTCAGGGTCATCTTCTGAAATCCTGGGAATTCTAAGGAATCTTGGGGAACTGTAGGGATTCTTGGGTGTTGGCTTGGGAAACACTTAAGTTCAGTATAGAGAGTCTGGATTTATGGTCCAAACCCAGAGAATCATCTTTGGAACTCTGGGTCACCTGTACTCAGGGAGGTGAACTCTGGGTCATCGTGCGGCACTCTGGGTTTCCATGCAGCACTCTGGGTAACAAGTCTGCTACATTGCAGGCCTGCGTGCATCTCCACAAAGCCACACTTTTAGCGGGTTTAGCGGCCTCCTGCGCATGATCACGGTAGTAGTGGGTTGATTCTCAGGGTAATTTGATCCTATGGGGCACTCTGAGCCACAGCAAGATGAGGTGTACTCTGGGATACATTCTCCAGAGACACTTTCCGCCAGACTTTAGGCACTCATCGTAAGGGAAAGTCCGCGGCTGGACTGAGTGTTCTCTGAAATTCTGGGCGTGCACTCCCAGAATTCACACTTCCAGCCAGTTGGGCCCATCTGCGGTCAGACGCTGGATTCACCCCGAGAAATCACTTCTCTCCCACAGTCGCCATCCATGTCACACGGGTACAGCCGCGCCGTATCCAAGTCATCCACCAATCAGCATCTGATACAAACTCCAGGTCACAGAGGTGACGGCACATCGTCGGCAATTTTCTGGGGACCGCCTCGTGTCAGAAGCCTATCGCCGCTATCGAGCCAAGCGACGACTCAACGACAAGTTGCCGAAGAAATCACGGCGCGACATCCAACACGAAATGGAAGGTATGAAGCCCATCGTGCCACATGAGCTGGGTCAGTTCATTGGCCTGCTAATTGCCAGAGCTATTGCGCCGAACCGCGAGAAACCACTGGAAGACCACGGATGAGGGTGCGTGGGTGCTTCGGGTCGGTGCTGCCACGGGTTCGATTCATGGAGATCTCTCGTAATCTACACTTCAACCCCAACAGCGACCAGAGAGCTCAAACCGACCGCGCCTGGAAGATACGCAAGGTCGTCGAAGTTCTGCAGCGGACCTTTGCGCGTGGATACGTCGCTCCATCGCACTTGGCGTTTGATGAAGCAGTGCTGCCAAGCCGATCTTCGTTCAACATGATGCGCGTCTACCTGAAGGGCAAGCCCCACAAGTGGGGCACCAAGCTCTTCATGCTCTGTAGTGCAGTCACAGCGTACTGTATTCGGTACGGATTATTTTTTGATTGTGCCATTTCATTACATTGCATTATGCAGTTTAATCTTACAAATATGTCTTGTTTAAACTAAATATCGACAGGTTTGATATCTACTGCGGAAAAAAGCAGCACGCGAGTGATGCACACAAGACCGACATGAAGTCTGGGCCAGCGGCGGTTGTGCGAAATCTGCTGGAAGGGTTTGGACCAGACTCAAAGAAGCAGGATATGAGGCTGGCCGTAGTTGACCGCACCTATACATCCGTGGCCTTAGCGATTCAGCTCCTGCTCATGGGGTTCTACAGTATCGGCACGATAATGACAAACCGACTCGGCTACTGCAAGGAGGTGATCGAAAAGAAGAAGACGCGCCCGGCGGACATTGCGCGGGGCTCATTCAAAATTGCAATGTCGAAGCTGGTTCCAAACATGGCTGTCATCAGCTGGTGGGACTCGCGTCCTGTGCATTTCCTGTGCACCGGTGGCAGTCATGAGCTCGATCGTGTTGCAGGACGGCGCGACGCAGGTGGAGGTGCCTTGCCCCCGCGTTATCAAAGACTACCACGCCTGCATGGGGGGCGTTGATGCCCACGACCAGCTGCGCCTGCAGCGCTACTCGCTGCAGCGAGCCCTCCGCTTCAAGAAGTACTACAAGTCGCTCGTTCTCGGTCTTATCGATTTGGCCATCGTGAATGGCTACATAGTTCACAAGGCATATCACAAAAACAAGTCGTCCCGCCCGCTCATGCATGTAAAGTACATGAAGAAGCTGCACTTGCAGCTGTGCAATCTCGACGCAACGGACATGCACGAGGACAACACGTTCAGCACGCAGCGACGCCCGGAGACCCCCGCGTACGAACCCATTTCGACTGGCGGAGGCCAGACGACCCCTCACACTGCTCGCCAAGTCGATGAGAGGGGAAACGCAGTTACCCAAGCGAAGAGGAGACGGCGCGCTTGTAAGGCGTGTTCGGTACTGCTTACGGGGACACAGCGAGCCTCGAGGACTACGTACTTCTGCGGCGGCTGCAATGACGCCGACCCGACCTTCCTCTGCATGCGAGCCCGTCGCAAAGTGCGTGAAGTGGCGATGGCTTGCTGGGATATTTGTGGTGAAACGGAAAGCCGATTCCGGTTGATAACGCGAGAAATATTCGAGTGAGACGCAAGCCAAGATCGGCTCCACCGGGCACTCCGTCGTCTCCTGGCACGCCAAGCACTCCTGCTTCAACCAAGCGACGCAGAACTAGTCCATAGGCCGTAAGCTGAATATTAGGCTGTACCTAAAGTTGCATATAGGCAACATTGATATCTTTACAGACAACGACGGATAAATCCGGACTCACTGAACGACATCCTCCATACTGTAGGACAATCACAGGCCCCGACACAAAAATCCGGAGGGTGAAAATACTAAGATGTGATTGGATGATTTACTAACTCGTAGTACATAAAACGAAGATAAACCGAATGGAAACATAAAAAAGATACGTGTATTAGATCGATACCTCCGGGTACCTAGGAATTGCCTTTTCAAAGCTACGAATTATCGTTTTATTCGATATGGGTTCCACGCAGCAATAGTGGCATTGATAGCACGGATACGTTTTTCTTTTGCCGTGCCTCCCGTTGCTTTAGCACTATTTTTTAGCTTCGCTTTAAGTGGCCCCATGACACCGACATCAAGCGGTTGGCACAACGATGTGCTGTTCGGTGGCAAGGGGACCACTGTGGCGTTCGCCTGTTTCGCCACATGCCCCTGTCCTTCTTCTGATACATTACAATCGAAATTGTCGAGAAGAAGGACAGACGGAGCATCTATTTCAAATTTTAGGAGTTTTTCTACGTAGATTTTCAAAACATCCTTGTCCATCCATGCATTTTCTTGAGCCGCGTAAAAATGCTTATCTGGGTACTCCTTGAACTCGTTTTCTTCAACCCAACCGCCTGGAACCCCACGGATGATGAATAGAATTGGCAATGTCGCTCCTAAATTAAATAAAATAACCACACCAAACATTAGTACAACTTTATGACAAGTAATACGAGTAGTTTTAGAGAATGAACGTACCATCATCGCGAATTGTGAGCACGGCAGTCATACGACCTGCGTGCTTGCTGTCGCCCAGTATTCGTGCCGAATCCTTCCGTCCTTTCATGGCCCAGCTCTTGGTAGGTGGTATGCCAAACAGAATTGCCGTCTCATCAACGTTTAACATGCCACCACCTTGATATGACCCATACTTTTCCCACATCTCAAGTGCAAATTTTGCACGGGTTTCTTCAAGTTCTTCATAGGATTTTTTTAGCTTCTTGGGGCTTTTGAGAAGAAAATCCA